TCTGTTTAGTTAAACCAATTCAAAGTAGGTACTTAACTCGGTATACTTTTGCAATCAGGCGTATTTAAAAAATCATCAACTTTACGTACATAATCAACTAATCAATTTACCTACCTACTTCAACTATTTACCTACGTATACTTTAATAATTGTTCAAAGTACATACCGTTCCTCTCCAAACAGAGTCTTGCACCTTTTCTGCACATTGTCTTTTAATTTTGCGAGCACTACCGTGTCATTTTTCACTAGGTAAAATGCCGCTCTAATTTGCACTTTTAAGTCCTCGAGGCTTTGTGCTTCCTCAACATACACACGTCTTTTAATTTCGCCCCACAAATAAAAGTCACACTGTGTTAGGTCCGGCGATCGCGCAGGCCCCACGATGGGACCTCCGCGTCACGTTGATCACCATGTATGTAACACTGCACCATTTCATAATATTCGCGATTGGAATACATTTCGACGCGCGAAGTGGGCCTGCGGCGGGTGACGCGCAATACGGAAGCAAAGGCGGAAGTGCGTGCGTTCAAAGGGGTTGTGCGCGGGCGACTGATGTGCGCCGACAAAATAAAAAACCGAGCAGACATCGTCGCTGGCACATGCGAGTACATTCCCTGCGCCCGCGCCCTTCTACCCCTGCTTGTTTTATTCATAACTCGTGTGACAATGCGAATGTTATAATTATCTTGTAATTGTGAATAATATGTGATTTATTAACGATACCTAATGCCTAGAAAAAATTTGGAGAGTAATTTTAATTGCATCCAGTATTTCCAGAACTTCAGATATGTTATTCTATACCACCACAGTGTAAATATAAGTAGATATCACCGTCTGAACAAATGTGCCAAGTATCAAAAATGTATGTATGTTTTTTTTGTTTGTTAATTATTTATTACAATTCGATTGATTAATAATATCAGAACTCCTTTTATTTTTTGTAAAAGAAACAATGTCTAAAACATTTAAAATGACAACCCTATGGTTTCAATGGAGCGTAGGTATTTATTTTATCAAATAGGCTTAGTTTCTATACTGTGTTATACTTATACTGTGGCTCAGCTGACGCACGGCGCGCGGTGACCATAAATTAAGTTTTAAAATCTCGATCTTTGATAAGCGATAACTTTATTTTTTAGTATTGGAACATATCAAAATAAAAAATACGTGTTTGTTTAAATTACTTAAAGTTTATTTTCACAAAATCTTCGCAGTGGTTTTAAATTATTCCTGTATATGGCCTGACATATTCAGTGTAGTGCACAAGCGCCCTTATTCTGTTTTTAATTTTTCGTATTTGTATGGATATTTAAGTTTCGAACTTTTCAAATTTCAGTTTTTTAATATATTAGTTAAAAGGAATGGAAATTGCTGTCTTTGGTCCATTCGTTTCCTGCAAAAATCAACTTTTGCTAGAGTCGCCATCTAGTGGAGATGCTTTTTTAGTGCTTTTTAAATAATTCCTCATTAGTAAATTATAAATATAATAAGCTAATACTAAAAAAAATTATAAACTGGTTACTTCAATTTTTAATTTTAGTTATAAATTGTTACAATAATAATAATTGCAATTACATTAAACGATTACAAAATCCCCATTAAAAAATATTTGTGTTTTAATATGCAAAGTTCGATAAATATCTTATATATAAACAGTCAAAATATTTTCTATAATGATGGTTTTTAATAATTTGGAAATACACATTGCGTGAAATGGATTTATTTACAAACGTCACCGTACCCATGCTATGTGAATTGTACTTTATTAAATTACTAGCTTTCGCCAGCGGCTTCGCCCGCGTTGATCCTAGGGAAATGTTTAGTAGGATAAAAAGTATCCAATTATCTAAGTCAGATAACACCCTATCTGTATACCAAATTTCATCAAAATCCGTTCAGTAGTTTCGGTGTGATTGACGTACAAACATCTAAACATCCAAACAAATAAACTTTCACATTTATAATATAAAAAGGATTTTATTTACGAGGAACAAAAAAAAAGTCTTGACTCGCGCGCCTCTGCAGAGTAAAAAGAGTAAGTGCTCTTCATACATACGCACCGAAAATGGTTTGTATGTGAGCGCGCCCGTGCGTATGCCTCGTTGCACTCACACACTCACAAAATTATAGAAGTTATAGGAGTTCAAGGCACGAGTGGCAATTTATAAATCGAATATATATGGTGTTTCATATTTTTATAAATCAAATTGATATCTGGTAAATGAAATCTTGAGCAAAAGTAATTCATAAACACTTTCGATGGGTAAATAGCTACACAAAATTATAATTACTTATGATATAATAAATTGCCCAAATACCTAAAGAAACAAAATATCATAGACTTGATTTATAAAAATGTGAAATACCATATACTCGATTTATAAATGCATATACAATATTTTGGTTTAGTTTTCAAAGCCATCATGTTTACGTACAGAAATTTCATAAAGAGCAACAATACAGTGACACAAAATATACACAAGTACGGCGTACTAGCCACGACTGGCGAGTTGCCACTAATGCTTTGAACTCCTATAACTTCGATAATTTTGTAAGTGTGTGCGTGCGACGACGCATACGTACGGGCGCGCTCACATACAAACCATTTTCGGTACGTATGTATGAAAAGCACTTACTCTTACACTCTGTCTCGAGTGCACCTACTTATATATTTGTACTGTGGCCTAGGGTTCCGCTCTTATATCTATAATTGGCTATGAAACTATAAGAGATACCATACATATTGTATAAATTTTAGAATATGGTAATGCTAAACTAAATACATTCAAATATACTTACAAAGAAAATTTATAACTTTAATGTAAATAAAGTGAAACTTTATGAGAAAAACAAATATATAAAATTAATAGCTACTTTTTTAATAGATGGGTAATTATGTTATTTATTATAAGGAGTTTATTAAAACGAATTCAGTAAACTCCTCGTTAGACATAACTCACGTATAATACTTAACCGTAACCTTATACAGGTGGTCACAGAACTTATGAGGGGACAATCTTCAACGTCTTATCTCAAGTAGCCACAGTTTATGCACTATTATTATTTGGTGAGTGTTTTAAGTATGGTTTTAGAAATACCTATCCTTTCTGTTTCATTGCTGTTTTTCAAATCTCTTGATTTGTCAAAATTTTTATTAGTAGAATTAGTTCCTAATACAAACATTGACAGTGTTATTACAAAAGAGACGTTAAACAGTGTTTTACCATGTGTTTATCTAAACTGTGTTTAAGAATATAAACCCCGTTTAAAATGATGTCTAATTTTCCCTATTACAAATTCATTTTTAAACATTGTCTAAGTAAACAAACATTCGTACTACTGGCTTTCATTCGTTCATACACGTTCAATTCTATGCACGCTGTATTCAAACTTATAATAAATTTTAGACGTAAAAAGATATCTTTTAAACACACTAGTTAATAATTTTTGTAAATGAAAATATTTAATCTAAAATTATCATTTTTAATTTAAATTCAAAGACATAATTCTTATCAAAGTCAAAACTATAGTGAAATATTGTGAAAGGTAAGATACTCCATAAACAACATATCATGTGTCAACATGACATGTGTTTAAATTTTAAACAATGTTTAAGGGTTGTTTTGCCTTAACCAATGCTCAAATAGAACAATTTTTAAACACGTGTTTATCTTTTTTGTAAAAATAACAGAATGTTTAATTAGTAGTATAGAAAACGAATGAAATTTTCTAGTATTCGTTAGTTTAATATTAAAACATTACTTGTATGTAATAGTCGTGTTGATTCAAATCCATTTTTGAATACCTAATTACCTACCTATAAATATTTTGGTGTATTCAAACTTTTTTTGCCTTATAACAAAAATACACAAAAAAAAAACAACATACCATAACAACACATCTTTGAAGCCGAAGGAGGCGAAAGAAAATAATTTTAGAATAGGGGATCGGATAAAAAGTTATTAAGTTTAAAGAGTATATTTTCGCTAAAAAACAATAATTTGTATTTTTAAATCAATAAACAAAAACACATTATTTCAATATTTGTAGTCTGCGTTTCACGTTAATCAGAGCGCGTGACGTCATTTGTGTGCAAATTGGTAAATTAATAGTAAAAATATCTAGGAATAATGTGGGAACAATCAAAATGTAACACTAATTTAATGTTAAACTGAATTTTAACAAGTTGTTGGGTCATTTTTGTAATGTAAATAGCAATTTTTTTTCCTGTAAATCCACATGTTTATTTAAACAGTTAAATTTTAATATAGTTATAGGTGCACATTTACATCTTGAATCGTCAAAATTCTGCAATGTCATTAATTTTCAAAGGCGTTAAGAAAAGTCGTTTCGTGCGCCTCCTTCGACTATGATAGCTATGTGGTCACCGCTCCACTATAATCATCATTTCATTGCACGCGTAGCATGACAAACTCGAGAAACTCATTGTATATGCCAAATGCCACTTTTCTTCGGTCGAGAGTGAAATATCGTATGGGCGCACCCGAGAAAAATAACGTTTCGGTGTAGAGAGAGTTCATCATGCTACGCATGCAGGATGGCATTGTTAGACTCAAATTGGGTGGAATTAAAAGCTGTTGGTATTAAAAAACCATTGGTCGTAATTTGAATGGCTTCTATTTCAGAATTGCTAGATGCAAGATATGCCCTGGTGCGTACAACAATTGCAGCAACTGTCAGTGGATTTGTAGAAGCCAAAACTCACCAGGTAGACAATTTGGTCCTACCGCTAATCACCATAGTGGCTTTTCAAGCAACTTGGTTTTTAAGTTGATATTTTTAATAGTTAATTTACCTAATTTTTGAAGGCTGGCTGTGACCATGAGATTGGAACATGTCTTTGATATAAAGTTGAATTTATTTATAATGATTGTGTGCATTAAAAAAAAAATGTTATTTATATTTTTCTATACCAAAGATTTAAATGCATGTTATTGTAAGTGTATAATTTATATTTTGTCAATAAAAATGCAACATTTACTTTTGAGTTTTAATGCTCCTAAGGCAAGATTTTGATTTATTTTACAGCACAACTGTCATATTTTAATCACTTTCTTTTTTCAAATTAGGCATTATTTCATAATTTGCTTCATTTTTATGTGTACTTTCAGTCTTTTGATCTTCTAATTTAATGATTTTTGATTTATCATCCACACTTTCTTCTGCATTGTTAGAACTTAACTCTGCTATGTTTCTTTTTATAGTCTCTTGATGTTCTAATTTAATGATTTTCGATTTATCGTCCACACTTTCTTCTGTATTTTTAGTTGGTAGCTCTTCAATGTTTCTTTTTACTAAAGATCGTTTCTTCTTTACCCCTTTACATTTGGCCTTAAATATTTTTTCCATTGCTAGGACACTTTTTCTGTCAATAGTCCACTCTATGACACGATTCTCAGCCAAATTTGTGTAATCCTCACCATCATTATATTTAGGGATTTCAATCCTCAATAAACTCATCACTCTCTCAAAAATTTCATCAACATAATAGTTGATTATCAAGTCTGCTTTATTATCCTGAAAAACATAATATGTGAATTTTCTATCTCATTTAAAATGTCAGTGTTTTAAATTATTAGTCTGGTTACTACTCACATGTTTTGTTGGTTGTAAATTACATATCACCAATTTGCCACCATATTTGGCAGTTTCTAAAGGTAAGTTACCACTTGGAACAATTTGTAATGTTGTTCCTAAACATATACTGAGATCAGCTATGCTGGAAAATAAAAGCATTTATATTATTATTCATAATGGCTGGTATGTTGACATTTATCTTATGGGAAAATATTTAAAAATTTCACCAGACCTGGCTACAGCATAATTAAGTTAAAAGATACTTTATAAAGTTACGATTTTTTTTATACAAAATAAATTATTCATAGCATTCATTAACAAAGAATTACACCTAAATGCATGAACATCCATTAAAATTGACATTATTTTAAAGCAATATTGTAGGCTATAAATTTTACAGCTTACCCTCAGACCAAATAAAAGTATAGACGGAGTTTTGCCAAACAGAAAAGTGAAGCCGACAAAACTACGCCTTGGCGTATTCGTACACAGTTTCACGCATACATACATAACGAAACTACGCCTTCCTTATCAGTTTAACTTAGTTAGATAGTATGCGGAACGTTTCATTATAAAAAAAATCAAAAATTTCTTACTAACTGCTGAATTGTGTAGCAAAAGGTTATAAAAATCAATCCTCAAAAAATAAAAAGCAGGATGGAATCACATTTCACACATAAGTATTGGAGAAAACTTACATTTTCAGTAATTTTAAAATAAAATTTAAGCAATTGCTCGGAACACAAAACCTCAGCCAAATATTACCATCGTTAAACGTTATTATTTATCCCGAAATTAAGTAACTTTAATTTTATAACGCGTTATTTCTAACAACACACAAATTACGTTATGTATTTGTTTCTTGTTGTATGGAAATTATTGAAAATGCAAATGAAGCATTGAAAATGCTACATAGCGATCCAGATCACAGATATTGAAGTGTTAGAATAAGGAAGTAAAAAATAAAAACAGGTTTAATTTTTTACTTCTTTATTTTTACTAAACGGGTTTGCATTAATTTTTAGATTTCCAAACCCACATCAAAAAGTGATTTCAGTCATTCGTAATAGTCGAAATGACCTTCATGAAATCCAACTTTACGCAGCGTAGTTTGTTCGACTCATTTTAAGAGCGATGATATGTATTTTACTATTTAGGGTTACGTCGAATAAAGCAAAACTCATATCCAAACTTTTCAAACTTTCTATACATTAAAATTTTAGTTAACAAAGTGAATTTTTCAAACTTAACTTAAAAATTAATCAAATAGTCTCTCTAATGTATGGCCTCCAATAATAATTACCTACTCTTAAAGATTTTAGAATATCTATGCTGATATTGACAAACAAATTTACATTATATTATTAAATAGCATAGCGTTAACGTTAACTCTATAACGTCATAACATTAAGTTATTGGGGTGTTTTTAATGACTATGGTCACACTGGCACGCACACTACAATTGCTAAAAATCGGCTTCACTTTGTTATTCAGCGAACTCAGTCTTTACTTTTTATTTGGTCTGAGAGCTTACCTATAATTAAATTGTAATGGATGTTTGTGCAACTGTTTATTAATTCCAATAAACTTAAATAAAAAACGGATGGTTTAGCCACACAAAGAAACTAGCATAAACTTTTATGATATAATGCCATACTAGATTATTTTAAACAATTCTTTTTCAAAAATAAACATTTTGTGTATACCTTGAATGCCATTCTGCCAAGAGTAAGTCATTTTCGGGAAGACTGTGCTCCCAGTCTAACACTCCATCATATAATCTACCACGGCAAGGTCTGCCACCTATATGCTCTGAGGCACATGGTACTCCACTACATTTTTTACCAACTGTCTCTACAGGTCTACTGCGTACAAATTGCCTGAAAAGTTACAATATAACCAATCAACATAAATAAGTGCAATCTCTATAGCATAGCTTTTGGTGGAATAGCACTCTACTTACTTTTTACATAAATTACATTCATCAATAAACATATTCCCATGAAGTTCTGCCAAATACTTTCTAGGCAGACCCGATTTTAAATGAAGACCATCTATATTCTGACTGACAATGTAGTGAACTTTTTTACACTCAATTAATTTTTTCAAGATCATGTGAGTTTTTGTTGGTCTGGCACAAGCAAATGAAATGTCAGTTGATGGTTTTTTCCCTTCTTTTTCCAATGTCCAGACTCCATTTGGACCCCTGTAAACATTGAATTAAATGTAAAATACCTACAATAAAATACATGAGTGAGACGAATATTCAGTGGATATTCTTTCAGCTGATGGAATATTTGGAATCTGCTGGAAATCAATACCTAAAATCTGGTATTCCTGCTGCGGTACTGATACCTGCTCCTGTATGTACCACAACATGCCGACTCTGGTTTATAAGTCGAGCTAACAGTTCACATTTTTTATCAAACTTGTCGTACGGCTCGTATATCTGAAAATCATTTGATATTTTAAATATTTTCTTATGATAATACCGCCTGACTAATGTCTAAATTTTATTGAAAAGTGTTTAAATTATTTTGGTTTTACTGGATAAGAATAAAGGATGACATACTTCAGGAATACCAAGAACTCCTTTGTACTCATATGGAGATAAACCTTCCGCATAATTGCAGGACATAACGTATTATCTGCTATCTTCTTAGTTCGCAATTCAGAAATTGAGGTGATGAAATTTAAAATAACACATCACACAGTAAACAACAACTAAATCAAAAAGAATACACTACGCTATAAACGACCACAAAAAGACCACGAACCGCAATCACAATTATCACAAACGAACCAAATCGCTATGCCAAACCGGCCACACTGAGCCAAACACCAAATATTGATTATGGTAAGGAAGGGATGCCATGAATCGTTACATTGCAAATAACGGTAAATATCGAACAGCGATATCGATACCGGAAAATTCCAACATATCGAAACTAACACTTAAATAGGTATACTTATACCAACCTTTAATTAAATAACTAGAATGAGGCAACTAGTGTCCGAATGCAATTGGTTTATAGAGAGAGAGAGAGAGTGTGGGAGTAATAATGTGGTCGGTCCTTATTAGCGATTAAATCGTAGTTTGGTGTTTCATTATGGTTAAAATATACTCTGTGAAGTAGGTACATATTATGCCGGTTGCGGTATTTTTTTGTGTAAGGGCGCTTGTGCACCGATAGTAGTAAAAAAAATGCTTTCGTCTTGCCATAATTTATTATGGTTTATGTAAAACATCAGATCATTATTTAGGTAGGTACCTTTCTACGTCTTCGAACGGAATTACCAACGTTCCAAAAATCTCATCGTACCTAGCGTAAGTGACGTGTAGCTTCAAAGAGAGCTGCTCCACACTGCGCCGCTCAGGAAAAAAACGGACAAGTGCACAAGCTACTCATCCGAGTTTTTCATGTCATTCCGGACCGGAAATAATCGGACCGCCGGACATGAAAATTCAGTTTAGTGCACAAGCGCCCTAAGTGTAGGAACCGTTATGTTGCAGTTGTAGTTCTACTGGATGATGGAGCCAACTGATAAGGGAGACTAAAGGGTTATTGTCTCCCTACAAGCTAGATGTTGTTTTGCCCGTGGACCGCGGTCCAACCGATGTAGGTTGGACGTTCTATTTATACGAATTGGTAATGAAATTAATTGTGGGCGATGTAGATATCCTTTGTTTTAAACGACTTGTAGTATCTTTTAGCATTGTGTAGCGCCATCTCGTTATTGGGTGTTGAAACTCCTTGCAATCAATGGTTGTGGCGATGTTACTATGATGTCGCTACCTATCAGCCGCCACCACGTCACTTTCCCCCTAGACCGAAGATCGATGCTTGTTACTATCAACATACTTACTAAGTCTGTGCTATCAACAAGTATCGACCTATTACAGCAGTTTTATGTTTTATCTATGAATAGTATGCAATCAGTGCTTCAGAGCTTGCAAGTGCCAGGGTTTGACGTTGGAACCGAAGCTGCTGGTGTACAGGGCTGCCACGTTGGAGAGTTGCGTGTGGGAACTGAGGCATCGGTTGTGGGCTGCGAGGGCTATGTCAGGATGATGCCTTTGGGTAATGCCAAGGATCTAGAAAACGTCGTCGATACAGCTTTGATGTTGGCTGGCTTGTTCCTGTGCTGAAGTTGCTTGACCTGATGAGGCTGATCACCACGTTGGATGTTATATTTAAAATCACCATGACGATTCCAATAGTTTTACAAGAACCGGAAGTATGTAGGCGCGAAGTTGATGGAACGTCAAAGACAAAATGACAGTGAAAGTTAGCTGACAGATAGTGCTGCCCTTGGTGAAATGGATAATTAGTGCTGCCAGTAGTAGTCGATGCTTTTTAATTTATCTTGAAAATAAAATGTTCTACACTGCTGCTTCTGTGATCCTCTTTTTTCTAATGTTACTCGTATAATGAATGGAGTATAGATAGGTTAGTTTTAACTTTATATACTAACTACTTAGTGTAAGACAATGGAAATACAATATTTTTTTTTTTTACGAGAATGAGAATGAAATCATAACCATATATAATTATGGAAGGACATTCATTTTATCCTATGGTATAAGAACGTTTATTAGATTATATTTGTTTGTGGATTTCAAGTAAAATATTTGATAAGTCACAACTTTTTAATACCGTCAGGTGGAAAAATTATAAATAATCTTCAGGTTGGGTCTTACGTTGTGCCGATTTGGTAACGTTAGTGTGTGTGGTATTGGGTAATAAAGGATGTCACGAACAGCTCCCTTCGTATTTTATGCCGGAGCCGCGTTTTCTTTTATTATTTGTTTTTTTTTGTAAATACGAAATTGACATTGACTTGGGATAGGGTCACGATCTCCCCCCACCCCTCCACTACCATTATCGAATCTGCTCTTTTCAAAACTTTCACTTAATTTTCGTTATTGTAATTGAGTTTTTCACATATGTTTACATCCAAGAAATGAGAACCTACGGCGCCATTTTATTAAAAAACTAACCATCCAATTGTATGATTATTGCAGCCTATATTCTCATTATGGAAACTTATATGAATATATATAAAACAACTTCACATATATAAACATTGCTCAGATTCCAAGACGAGTAGCTAAAGCCCCCGTATACAATTCCGTTTTATGGAGTATATCACTGAACACACTTTAGTTATTCAATTGGTTCCGGATTTCATTATATAAATTATAAATCGATTCTTCAATACATATGACAACAAGGACATTCATAAAAAGAAACATCACTATATTTTTATTATTAAAAAAAAAAGAAAAAGCGCGGGAAGCTTATAAATTGGTGGCGGTCTTTTTGATTTTCGTGAACTTTTTTGTAAATTTTTCTTGTTAATATTGCACATATCTCTGTTTTTTGTATATATTCTGTTAGTCTAAGGTAGTATTTGTTTATATAGTTCAATTGTATAGGAGTATATTGGTAAGTTTTTATTTTTCTTTTCTGATGGTGAAAAATGGCCAAAAAACGGAAAAAAGCTTTATCTGATTCTTTAAGTCAGACGAACACTATTGTAGAGTCTGAGTCAAGTGACTCTGAATATTCCGACAGATTAGAAGAAAATGAGGACAAGTACTCGCCTTATAGAGTTACGGATTACTGCCGTAGGTATCCCGAAGATAGTGCGGCTGGCTACGAATTTATTGTTTTTGTAGAAAGCGTAAATGAAAACCCTATCGGTACTCGGGATATGATGTATCTTAGCGGATGTTTTACCCGTTTTGTTAAAGGTATTAAGTATTTGAAAAAGGTGAACAAATACAAAGTAGGGGTAATCTTCAATAGCGCCAACCTAGCAAATACGTTCTTAGATAATACGACATTTCAGCGAGAACAAAACATCAAGGCGTCCATCCCTGCAGGAACTACTGAGTTGACAGGAGTTATCAATTCTGTCCCCACAGAAATGTCAAATAAAAAAATATTTAAGGCACTTTCCAGCTCCAAAAAAATAATATGTGTTCGGCGTCTCATGAAAAAAGTAAAAGTAGAAGACAAATTTCAGATAGTTCCTACCCAATCTGTAGCGATTACGTTTTCGGCCTCAGTATCCTTACCAGACTTTGTTTTTATAAAAATGTGGCGACTCCCAGTTTTGCCTTACATTCCCCCGGTAAAGCAATGTTTCAAGTGTCTTAGGTTCGGTCATTTGGCTAAATATTGCCACAATTCACAAAGATGCTCAATTTGTACAGGGTCTCACAATTTTAAAGAATGTAACGTGCCTTTAGAAAAGGCCATCTGTATCCACTGTCAAGGAAACCATTTATCAGTGTCAGGGCAATGCCCTATAAAAAAACAAAAAATTACTGAAAATAAAACAAAAGTGACCACCACTCCTTTTTCAAATTTATTCAATAACAAAGACAAAAACTTCCCATCATTAAATAAGTCTGAAAATAGTCAGGAATTGATCAATTTGATACTTAACAACGAAAAAGCTATAAATGTAATCACTGAATCCTTAATTAAAGTCTTAACATTAAATAAAACAAACAACACTAGTATCAGTTCTCAAATAATTTTAGACACTATTAAAGAAACTTTACAGAATAAAAACAATAAAACATCAACATGTATAAAAACGCAATTAATATAGTACAGTGGAATGCACAAAGTTTATTAAGCAATCGACTTGAATTTCAGAAGTTTCTTTACGATTGTGAGGAAACCTTTGGAATAATTCACATAGCCTTAATTTGTGAAACATGGCTAAAGCCACACCACACTTTCAATATGAATGGATATTCCATTGTGAGAAATGACTGTGGTAATGATCACAATGGAGTAGCCATACTTGTACATAATAGTTTAAACTTCCATAAAATTAATACTTTCTTTGACAACTGCTTACAAAATATAGCAATACAATTAGAAATAAATAAAAAGTTGTTGACTTTAGTGAGTTTTTATATACCAGGCATTTCAAATCCAAGATTTAATAAAAATAAACTCGATCAGTTAATACACAGTCTTCCAAAACCATTCATTGTTGCGGGCGATTTTAATGCCCATCATATTAGTTGGGGTTGTACTAACACCGATATGAGAGGGCGTAGTATTATGGACATTATAGATGATAATAATCTAGTACTTTTAAATGATGGTCAAGCAACTACAACTGGTTCTCATATTTCAAGGCCAAATGGTCTTGACTTAGCCTTTGTTTCCTCATCTATAGCTTTGTCGTGTGAATGGCAAGTATTTTCTGATTCACTTGGTAGTTATCATCTGCCAACTCTTATCAAATGTAAACTTTTTTCTGCTCCACAACCTCCTCCAGTTTCTTCCAACATCCCTCAACATGCAAATCTGAAATTAGTAGATTGGAATGAGTATGAAAAAAAAATTAATTCAAATTTATCTGCTTTTTGTATTGATCCTTTTGATTTATTTACAAGTTATAACACTTTTTGCAGTTTAATAGTTAGGGCCATCAATCAGTCTCAAGTTCTATCTACAACGAAATCTAAAATAGGAAATAATAATAAAAATAATATAGATAGTGGTCGCAATCTCCCACAACGACATAAAAGAATCCCTTTAGTGTGGTGGAATGACAAATGTACAAAAGCTGTGAATGCTTGCAAACAAGCTTTCATTAAGTTCAAATCCAACTCTAGTCTGGAAAATTATATTGCATTCAAACATGCACAGGCATTGAAGAAAAGAACCTTAAAGCAGGAACAAAGGTCTAGTTGGGAGAAATTTTGTCTGTCAATATGTAGACTTACTCCAATGAATCAAATATGGGCTAAGATGAGAAAATTTGGTAGAAAATTTATATCACAAGGTGATGATTGCAATTGGATTCCTTCATTTTTAGGTAAATATACACCTGACACTGTTCAAAATTCACCAAATAATTGGGATAACAATACAAATTTATTTCTAGTTGACCCATTTTCTATTGCTGAACTCAAGGCTGCACTACAATCGAGGAAAAATACATCGACTGGTTTAGATTGGATTTCGTACAAAATGATCAAAATGATTAATGATGATAATCTTCTAGTATTCTTAAATTTGTTAAATGGTCTATGGTCAAAAAATCTAATCCCAGAACAATGGAAAACTGATTGTCTCATCCCAGTACTAAAACCTGGAAAAATCCCAAATGTTGCAGAATCTTATCGTCCCATAACATTAAGTTCTTGTGTTGGTAAATTATTTGAACAACTTTTAAAACAGCGTCTTGAGCATTTTATTGAAAGCAAAAATATACTACCTTACAATCAGTTCGGCTTTAGGCGTGGTCGCTCTGCTAGGGAAAGTCTGTGTCATTTTTCTTTAGACATTCATAAGTCTTTTTGTCAAAATGAGTTCACAGTTGCTGTCTTCTTTGATGTAATAGGCGCCTTTAATGGAATTAATTTGGAAACCCTTTCTAAAATTTTGTATAATTTAAAGCTTCCTGGAAAGTTAGTAAACTGGTTATTTAATTTTTTAAATGGTCGAAAAATATTTGTCAAATATGGTAATCAGTTGTTTGGGTACAGATGCTCCTATAAAGGTGTATCTCAAGGTGGAATATTAAGTCCTCTCCTATTCATTTTGTATATACATCAATTAAATGATATTTTGGGTCCACAAGTTAATAATTTACAATTTGCTGATGATTTGGCAGTATATTGCTCTGGAAATAATTTGTCCTTGATCTTGGAAATAGTTAATGCTGCTCTTCAAAGGTTACAAGCTTACTATGAAAGTCTGGAGTTAGAAATCAGCACAGAGAAGAGCAAAGTTGTTGTCTTTTCAAAAAAGTTATTAAACAATGTAAATATATCCATATATTATAATAAAAATTTATTACCTGTAGTCAACAATATTAGATTTTTAGGAGTTATATATCAAAATAATTTCAAATTCAATGAATATGTCGATTGCTTGATAAACCGTGCAACAAAAGCCTGTAACATATTAAAATCTTTAGCAGGTACATACTGGGGTTCTGACCCCAAGATTTTACTTATATTATATAAGTCATTTGTAAGAAGCCACTTTGAATATGCTTTCTTTTGCTATGCAAGTGAAACAAAACTAGTAGACAAATTAGAAAAAATTCAAAATAGATGCTTACGTATAATTGTTGGAGCAATGTGTTCCACTCCCATAATATCAATGCAGGTGGAATGTAATGTACCACCACTGATGTTAAGATTCAAATATTTGATATCCAGATTTTTCTTGAAAATTTCTTCAATTATTCAACATCCTTTAGTTGGAAAACTTCAGCAGTTTTTGGCAATCAATGCTTCCTCATTAAATTGTTTATTTTTACTTCAACATTTTCCTGAAATATTAAAATTAAGAAATGAATACAACATATTTATCAGTTCTATATGGCCTTGTTATGAAGGTTGCTTTATGTCAAAACTTTATCCCATCAAAATTTTCATTGATAGGACTTTAAAAAACAAAAGTGATGTTTATTGTTTATTAGAAAATTGGATTGGATTTCATCAAATTTATACAGATGGTGCAAAAAATTGCAATAATGTTTCTACAGCTATTTATGATATGCAAAATAGAAGAGGTTATGGGTATAAACTCCCTAGTATTGCTAGTGTTTTTACAGCTGAAAGTTATGGTGTACTCAAAGCCTTAGAGTATATTGAATCTCAGAGAGAGGGCAATAATGGTGGTGATAATTGGTTGATAGTTTCAGATAGTATGTCCGTCTTACAAGCCTTAAATAATCCAAACTTTAATACATCAACTAGCTACGTAATTCATAAAATACGCTCAAAATATTTAGATCTAACAATATCATTTAAATTGAATATTGTCTTGGTATGGTCACCAGCACACATAGGTGTAACTGGCAATGAACAAGCTGATTATTTGGCTAAATCCATTACAAATACATCTTATAATATTCCCATCACAAATATTCAAGTACCTGACTCAGATATCTTGGTAAACATAAAAAGAAAAATGCGTGATGAGTTTGTAAATACTTGGGAACAAATCACTCTAACCAAGGGAAAATGGTACAGGCAAATAAACAAAAATATCACAAAACCTTGGTTCTCCTTGGGAACCCATTATAGTGGTAGAAAATATTATACTATAATTTCTCGTCTCAGGCTCGGACATTGTCGTTTTAATGCTCACCTTCATAAAATAAATATAGTGTCGTCACCTATCTGCAATTATTGCAATTCAAGTAGCCAAACTTTGGATCACCTTTTCTTTGAATGTAGTCATTTTGCTCTCGCTAGGATTCTTTTCATAGATCGCCTTCTGGAGATTTATCATAAACCTGAAAATATCCCGCGCACCCTCCAGAAATTATTGAATAATCCACGTTGTTTTAAACCTATTTACGACTATGTTGTATCAACTATCGGAGATATATAAAATTTAAATTATGACATAACGGACAAAAGGTGAAATATTTTGATCTGACATTTAACTCGATTTGTGACATTATACTCTGATTTTACTTTTACAGTACAAACAAGGTCTTCATGGCTTTTATTCTTCATATCGCTGTTTATTATCAAAGACATGGCTACGGCCTATTTTTTCCTATGATATCGAAGAAAAATTTTGTACAACAGACAATGGCTGTATGGGCTAAGCTCTCTTCGCCTTTCCTTTAAGGAAAAAATCTACCAAAAAAAAAATTATTAAAAAAAAAAGTATAACAAATTACGGAGCGGACTATCTGTTGGTTATTTGTATCATTATAAAGTTTATTTGATTTCAGTACCTTGGTTTAGATATTTAATTTTATAGAATGAATCGCAGAAGGGGACATGAAGATGACGATGTATACGGTAAGTCTATAGCTTAATCTAAGGTTTAAGGTTATGGTTGTTGACTCTTAGTTGAAGAATAAAACAATATTTTTCTAATGATTTGTTTTCAGATCGTTTACATAGAAAGAGGCGTCGAGTTTCAGAAAATCAAGAGATAGAGGATAGATTGGAATCGCTTATTTTAAGAGTTGGTGAAAAAAGTAGTTCCAGTCTCGAAAGCAATCTGGAAGGTTTGGCCAGTGTTCTAGAAGCAGATTTGAGTACATTCCGAGTAAAAATTCTTCGCATTCTTACCGATTGCGCTATTCGTATGCCTGAAAAATGCACAATCTATGCTACACTTGTTGGTTTGCTCAATGCTAAGAACTATAACTTTGGTGGTGAGTTTGTTGATTATATTGTGAAAACCTTCAAGGAGAATTTGAAAGTTGGCAAATGGAATGCAGCTAGATATTGTCTTAGGTTCATATCAGATTTAGTAAATTGCCATGTTTTGGCCGCTTCCTCTTTGTTGACTTTACTGGAAACACTAGTAGATTGTGCTAATGAAGATGGAGTTCCTCAAGTGAGAAGAGATTGGTTTGTGTTTGCTGTTTTGTCTGCCTTGCCATGGGTGGGCCGAGAGCTATATGAGAAAAAGGAATCTCAACTGGAACATTTACTTATAACTATTGAAGTATTTTTGAATAAGCGCAGTAAAAAACATTGGTCTGCATTGAAAGTGTGGGCAGCCGATTCACCACACTTGCAGGAAGAATACTTGGATTGCCTTTGGGCACAAATAAAAAAATTAAGACAAGATAATTGGTCTGAAAAACACATCCCAAGACCTTATCTTGCGTTTGATTCAATTTTGTGTGAAGCATTGCAACATACACTTCCCACTATTCAGGTAATTACATTTTTTAACCAGTACGATGATTTAAGTTTTTGTTGTTTTTTCTACTTTTGTTACCAATGTTGTAGCATTATTATTACCTGCTATTTATAAATTATATATATGATAAATTTTTCATTCATGATTCTATATTCATATATAGGAAATACTCATAATATTCCTCAGTTTTTTAAGTAGCACAATGGAAGCAGGCTCTAAAATTGAACTGTTGAATTTTTGATATATTTGGAAAGTTTAAAGAATTTTTTATAATAATTAAATATGTTCCAGCCTCCACCTCACAATGATTCTGACACTTACCCAATGCCTCGAGTGATATTCCGTATGTTTGATTACACGGACTGCCCTGATGGCCCTGTGTTGCCTGGAGCTCACTCTATTGAGCGGTTCCTGATTGAAGAGCATTTACATAACATAATTGAGGCATACCATCTGGAGCGTAAAGAGTGTGCTGCCCAATTACTCTGTTTCCCTTATAAAGCTAAGATACCTCTGGAGTACTGTATTGTAGAGGTTATATTTGCTGAGCTTTTTAACTTGCCAAGACCGAGGTATTTGGAAATTTGTTATGGATCTATTCTGATTGAGCTATGTAAACTCCAACCTTCCACCATGCCTCAAGTGTTAGCACAAGCTACTGAGATTCTATTCTTGAGAATTGATACTATGAATGTGGCTTGTTTTGACAGGTATGTAAATATATGAAATCTTAGTTACTTACTTATGTTTTAAGATATTTTGATCCAACAATGTATTTGTTGTGGCCAGAGTGTAGAAACTAATAATGTCATGGTACGGCCAACCATTTCATAAAATGACAGTTATTCATAAAATGGGCAGCTAAAACTGATCATTTTGTTTAAACATTTAATGATATGGCAATCCACATTTAGCCATATCATTAATATAGAGTGTCCAAAAAAGAATTTGCTGAAGTAACTTTTTTGTATGTTAACTATGTAATTCAGTGGTCTGAAAAAAAAAATTACCTTGAATTTTAAGTAGTCCTTAGATTACCTATGCTTGGCCAACCTTCTTTCTTTTGTATGTAGCATAACCTATTAATGAAAGTACACTAATCCATGCGACAACAGCGCCTTTAACAGAGACTATATGATCACTAATGCTTGACTAAATCATGAAGCAGACACCTAGTGTTTTAAAAATATTAACAATGTAAGTTAATTTTAACATGAGCTGTTGAATGAAAATGCTTAAAAATCCAATAGCATTGTGAATGCAAAATTGATCAAATATAATAATAAGCTGTAATTATTATAAATTACAAAACTAATAGGAATTCCTTATTTCTTATTTTTATTAAAAGAAACTACACCTACTACAAAAGAAACATCTCAACTGATCAAAACATAATTTCTTTATTATTATTTACATACACATACTATGATATTTATTTCTGTCAATTTAATAATCAAATACACAATACTTATATTTTATGTTTGAGATTTGCAAATTGGTTTTTGCCGGCGGCTACGCCAACGTGGTCTCTAGGAAACTTTTAGTGGTATAAACAGTAACCTATACGTTAATTCAGGCTTAGAATAATGTGTATACCAAATTTCATCAAAATCTGTTCAGTAGTTTTTGCCTGAAAGAGTAACAAATGTATATATCCTCTCAAATGCTTGAGTTTATAAACATTAGAAGCAGCAAAACCCTGCTAAAAGCCTCCTTTTTATTAAAAACATTTTTTCAATTTCAATTTCAATTTTCTTCAATTTCACAATTTTTTTTTGTTTATATTATTTGTATAATTTTTACAACATAAGTAAAAGATTATACAATTAAAATTGTCTTTTTGTATTTAAAAAATTGTTGCCAGTAACTATAGATAATTATCAGATATTTAATAATAATCCAAAATAATATTATCTTGATAATTACGAACTCTGATAAGTAGGGTGAGATAATTATAATAATAAGATTATTTTTTTACATTTCGTTTAAAATTAACAATATATGTTGTTTTTTAGATTTGTGAATTGGTTTTCATACCATCTCAGTAACTTCCAGTACCGCTGGTCGTGGGAAGATTGGGAAGGTTGCATTCAGTTAGAGTCTGACCATCCAAAACCAAGGTTCATTAGGGAGGTGCTAGGCAAATGTCTGAGGTGATTTCTATGAGTATCTTTAAATGTTTACATGTCTTTGTCTATAAAAACACAAATAAGTCAACATATATTTTTTAAACTCTATTAAGTAGTATGAAGAATTAAATGGTATTAGGATTCTGAAAATGTTATAGAAATATGCTTTTTATAATAATAACATATAGTCTAAGATCCGAACCTAAATCGACCTTCACCGGGTTGATAATGGAATAAAACTTATTGTATAATTAATTTAGTATATTAGAAAATATATTAAAAATGGGTTCGCTAAAAAAATCCTGGACAGAATATTTTTAATTATTTAAAAAAAAATATTTTTTTATTAAATCTTGCAAATGTTGGGTCCTTTACTATAACACGGTATACGTTCCTCGGATCTCTCTGTCACTCACTTTCCCACGCGTTAAAATTTTAATTTTTAAAATTCGCAAACTCGTATCAGTACCGAATTTTTTGCAGACAACCCTATATCAATGTGTTCGTAATGAAACAGCGCTTATGTTGATATATTTTTTTTTTTATTATCAAATCAAGTGAAATTAACTGGCATCGATACACCTGTTTATACCTGACAACCCAGTAGTTCGTCCAGGTAAATAATAGACAACCCAACGTCTGCACAATCTATATGTTTTATACTTTAAGTCAGATTTAAATTTTTCTTATTATCTTGATGTTGCAACATTTAATAAAAAAATTTTTTTTTATAAATAATTAAAAATATTCTGTCCGGGATTTTTTAGCGAACCCATTTTTAATATATTTTCTAATATACTAAATTAATTATACAATAAATTTTATTCCATTATCAACCTGGTGAAGGTCGATTTAGGTTCGGATCTTCTACTAATACTGGCTTCAGAACTTTGATGTAAGAATTATAGGTATTTTGTATAATATAACAACATTTTCATACTACAGGTTGTCATATTATCAGAGGATCAAGGATGTTGCCCCAGAAACATTTGCTGCCTTAGTTCCACTAAAACCAGAGCCTATATACAAATATTCAATGGAGGGTGCAGGTAAGAAAAACTCATGTACTTTTAAAATTCTGTTTATTGTTTTATAAAAATCTTTTATTTAATCTTATGCCTACACTTAAACATTTAATCTACTGAAGTATGTACATTTCGGTAACATAATATCTATTTAACAGAGCTTGTGCATGTAAAGAGCTTCTGAGTTCTGAAATAAATGCTTTAAATTGTTTGTTTTATTAAAAACCCATTCAAACTTTAGGAACCCCTTTCATCAAAGCGTTGTCTGTCTGCTTACATGAGATCGACAACAGTTAGGTTAAAGCTGCACAACTGAGTATTTAAATTGAATTAAAATTAGTCTATTCCATGGCCATTAATTCCAGTAAGCTGTAAGGGCGTTCTTGATATTCGTCATAGTCCTTGTCGTTAGATTTTCGAGGTTCGTTTACATCGTCGTTGTCGAAAGGTGACACTTCATCATCAATTGAAGTTTCTTTTTCGTCATCCTCATAATCTTCTATTCCTCTTTCATCAGAATGCCTGTGCCTATGTGAGTCTCCGAAACTATCAAGAAAATCATCGAAGTCATCATCAATTTGTATGTATTTGTCATGGTTTTCACTCTCTCCTTCCTCTAGATCTTTACGTCTACTTTCTTTCGTAGTGACGGTAGGCTCGTTATCAGAAAAGCTTCCCAATAATTCATCTAAAAAATTTGTTGAGCTTTTTGTAGTCGATGTTTCTTCTGTCGTCGACAATTCTGTGGGAACTAAATTTTGATGCTTTTTTTTCTTGCATCTCGTTTTATTCTTTGACACTGTATGTGATGTAGCTATAATACTTTGTTCTGTTACTATTAAATCGTCTTCATTTATCTCATTACTTTCGTCATTAGGCGTTTTAGGCGTTAGGTCGAAAATAAATTCAGAGTGGTCTTCTGTTTCCTGTTCTTCATTATTATTTGACTTTATTTCTGTATTATTATTATCGTCATCGTTGTCATCTTCATAATTTTGCGAATATCCTACTGTTGATTTTTCATTGACGTAATGATCTACAGTTTCTTCGTAAGTTAATTGTGTTGAAAGTGGTGTACTTTGGGAATCACTTGTAGTACTTTCGATTTTTCTATTATTTTCGTTTTCGTGTTCTTTCATGAAATCTTCTGGGCTAGAATATTTACGTGTGGAGGTCGATCCGTAACCATGGAAATTAGACCCGTTTCTTCTTGAATTTTTTATGGTTGTTGTAAGTAATTTCTTCTCGCTGCTTGCATTGTTGCTCCATCGGTCATGCTTGACTGATGTGCCCTTTATCATTAAAGTTGATTGCCTAAAACGATTTTTACTTATTTGTTGTGCAGGCTTAATAGCTGCTGTTGTTAGCATAGTAGTACTCAGTGGTGACATGCTTGAAATAGTTGTTATTTTAGTTGTCGAAGGAGATGGATTTTGCGTCGTTATACTTACAGATGTAGTTGTGGTAGGCATTGTAGCAGTTTTATTCTTAGGTTGCCAAGTTTTGTTGGCTCCGTTTGCAGCAGAACTCGCTTGCGGTGTTAAATCTGCGGTTTTGTTCCTCTGTATTTTTTCTGGTGCTGTGGTCGTGGTTGTTAATCGTTTGTGTTTTTTTATTTTTTCTGGTTTGGTGAATTTATGTGGTGGCCGTGTGCGCTTTTTGGATATGGGTGTTACGGTTGATGTTTTTATCGTTTCTTGATAGAATATTGCAGTTGTACTATTTTTACTAGTCTTAGCCGAGTCGTTTATGATCATTGGCTGTGTTGTACTCTCAGTCAACTTTTGTTTATTTTTTTGGGACGCCATGGGAGTAGTTTTAGTAAAAGCACCTAAAATATTGGCCCATTGCATAGTGTCGTTGTCTTCATCTAAACTGTTATATAAAGTGATTATATCAGGAACAGAAGTAGTGATTTGATGCGATTTAATGTTTTCGTGTTTTTTCGGTGGTTTTTTAGTTCCAGGTTTTCGCAAGTGCTTATTATTTTGTGGTACTTCATTTTTTATTTTTTCAAAATTATCCTTGTCCGTCACGTTTATTAGTATTGGCCTGAACGCTGAATCGATGGTTGTGTCTGGATCTGATAATTGTCCGTCTTGACTAAAGACTTGTGGACTAGGTCGAAAATCCGTGGGTCGTTTTATAGGCTTAGAACCTTGCATATATTTCAAAGGCGGCATTGGTTTGAATAATTTCTTATCCATGGATAGGAATACTCCAGGAGGTGCGTTGTATACAGGAGGTCGTATTCGATCCGGGAAATGATTGAATTTTACTTGCTGCGGTCTTGGTTTATTGTACGGTTTATAAACTGGTGGCAGTTCTGGTTGCAATGTTGTGTTGTGAGTAACATTGAATTTGTTATCAGTGTCAAATTCTAAAGAAGAGTTTCTTATCGTAGTGTTAAAGCTAGGATAAGGAGGTGTTGGCAAAACTGCTGGTCTTGTTGTTTTTATTATATTACTGGGTGATATATGTCGGTGATCAGAAAGAGGGGGAATTTGTTGATGGTTAACTACTGCGTCCATATCAATATAGTGATGTTGCACATGACTTAACGGTGGAGTTTGCAAAGGGGGTCTCGAATATTTGTACATGTTAGGCGTATAAGGATACTGTATAACTTTTTTTTGGTGATTTTGATCACGCAGTGGTCCTGCATGTCCTAATTTGGAGTGGTGAGAGTAAATTGGTGGGACATAAGGATTCGGCTTATATTTTGGAGATGGTTCTACATAACTGTCATCGTCCGAAAAGAATGCGGAAAATATTCTATCTAAACCTTGATGGTGATGTCGAGCAAAATTTTGCCGTCCGGGAGCAATATTCCTATGAAACCAGATGGCCCTCTGGGGTCGGGGTGCTTGAGGAAAGGGCGTTTGGTGTAAAAGCTTTTCCTCGGGTTGAGCTACAATTATATCTGGAGGATTTTCACGTACAGTAAAAGTTCTCACAGGAGTTTCAAACGGTTTTCTTTGTTTTTTTGGAGGTTGTGAGTTTACTGAAAACGTTAATTCGTAGTGATACTTTCCCGCTGATGTCTCTTCGTCTCTCTGGCGAACACGCTTCACAGACCAAAATGCTTTGACGCCTTTCATACACATCTCGTCTTTGCAATCTTCTTTTGATCGTTCATCTTCCGTAAAACGGTAACCACCGCTTTCTTCCAACAATCTTCCTTTTGCCATGATTGTAACGTCACCGTAAGATGCATGATCATCCTCTTTAATTCTATCAAAGGGTGCCTTTTTAATTTTTTCCCAAAGGTCGCGATCGTCGACCTCTTTCGATGTATGTGGATCTGGTTTGGTATCGGGTGATATTACTATACCTTTAGCGATCAGTTGATCAATTTTATCTCTGACTAGTGTCAAATAAACGCTATGCCTCAAAGCGTCTTCCCAGTAATGAGCAGGCACTGCGGCGACCGTTGTTGCTTTGTCTGTTTTTATAGTCTCTTGCAGAGTACCGACGCGAGCTTCCCGTTTTTCATAATTCCATTGATCAAGTGGTATGGGTATAGGTCTGAAGTCACCATCTGATTTGGCCCCATCTTTATGTATCTGTAACAAAAAAATATTTTATGAATTAAAAAGTCATATTAAATGAAATTCATTATGCTATTATAAACGAGTAAATTCTGAAGACCAAAAAAAAAAAAAATTGACGTGAAGTAGTCGTTTGAAAGTAAAATGTTCGATTGTCGCGAAAGTGCTGCGTTGAGTTAGCGTGCATGGAAAGATCGCGTGTTAGACGATCCAACCCGCGAGTTTCCAATAGACTATTCCCGCATACATGGTCAATTATCTGAAAAATATTTGCCGCTTGTGAATGTCGCCTTCCGAATAATGATTACTTGTCTACTTAGCACTACTGCATTTACCTATAGAATATGTGACTTTGTTGCCATCTTAAACATTGACTAGATCTTACAATGGGCTAGTCACCCTCTATAAACATTAATTGGGTGTAAAATAACGAATAATGCATTGTTACGAAACTCTCCCACATGTTGACTATTAGCCTGTTATAAGTGAAGGTTAATCATTCAACTTTTTATGTATTATATTTTAAACAGTTTTAAATTGATATTCTACTTCTTATTACACATATTTACAGCTACATATTTATAGGAAATTTGTTTATTAAAAGATATTAGTTTGTTTATTAATATTAATAAATTAACACTTATGTTCATAGGTTCTCTGTGAATGTAATTTTATTGTGTTCGATAAATATGATATGGATTAATTTATCACTATATCTGAAAGCGATCTAGACCCCAATGCCCACATACCGTGACAGAGTTGTTATATAGATGTTCTTACTGAACGATGATATGGATTAAATTCGTTTAGGCGTCAAGGTCTCACAATTATATCATCATTAATATTATTTAAATTTGGTTCTCGTGAATCTTTGTTGAGATTATTAAAGTATATTAAAATTGTAAATATATTTATGCAATAGTTAATAATCCTATTATATTAATTAAAAGTGTAAAGGACTATTTTCTCTCCAATGAGAAATTATTTAAAGAAAAAAAGAAAGCACTAAAAAGCATCTCACTAGATGGCGACTCTATCAAAAGTTGATTGTTGCAGGAAACGAATGGACCAAAGATAGCCGTTTCCAATCCTTTTAAAAAACATATTAAAAAACTGAAATTTGGCAAAGTTCGAAACTTACTATATCAATATAAATACGAAAAAATACAAATAGAATATGACTTGTTTATTCAGTTTTGAAAATTGATTGACTTTTGGATGCAGAAATCAAGAAAGTACCGTAGCGACATCTAGTTTGATTTCGGGAATTAATGTTTTTTTTAAATGCTTCCTCATTGTGTCTAATCCCAGTATTTATGTGTTAATATTAATTATGTTATACGCTACCGAATAGCTCGATGGCGTAGTGGCTAAGCGCCGCGGCCTGCGATCGTTATTGTTAAGCAACTCTCGCAAGGATTGGTCACAGGATGGGTGACCAAAAAATTTTTTATCTCGAGCTACTCCGTGCTTCGTAAGGCACGTTAAGCCGTTGGTCCCGGGTACGTTAGCAGTCGTTTATACCCTCCTATCTGCATTGTGTCATCGTGGAAGGTCATGACCCGTCCTCCTTAACCATCCATACGGAAGGCCTGAGCTCCAGCAGTGGGAACGTAAAAGGGCTGACCATAATTATCTTATTTCATTAATAAGTATATATATATTTTATCACACGTGTAACTTCTGTTGATATTGCTTTTCTTTTTCGTCTTTATTTTCTCTCCTTCTTGTTTTGATATTACACTTTTAGATTTTACACTTATTACCTTCTCACAATCACTCAAAGGATTGCTGGAAGAAAACGCTTGTTTGAGTTAAGTTCGCGTTTCGTATAAAAGTTCCCAAAACGAGAAACTTTTGTGTACAATAGCGTATAAAATAAATAAACCTTATAGTTGAGAAATAAGTTTTTGAAATATGTTAGTGATCCTATATTGTATATATCCTATACTTAGTCTTATAAGATTACGTGAAATATGAATTTTGCACATTAAATTTAGATATAGCACCAGGTGCATTCTATTGCTCCACTTTGTCTGGGAGAATCCCATCCGCTAACAATAACCGTCGTAAGGTCATTGTCTACGCTTTATTATGTAGTTTCATTATACACGTAAAGAAAATAAATAAAGATTGTTATGATCAAACACGAATCTCACCGCCTTTCGAATGGCACTTTCTTCGATTTGTTTATTGGAATGATAAGGATGTTAACAGGAGTAGTTTTTGGGATTAATCGAGTTTGTACAGTAATTCAGGTTTTTGGAATATTTTCTATAAAATATCAACAGGATTATATAAATAAAGCTCGTTCTAGAAAGAAAGCTTGAAGATTGCATTACAATATGATAGTATTTTAATCCTAGCTGGATTGAAAGTATTCACATTTGCATAAATTGTAAAGTAAACAGCTATTACATTTGTATGATGAAAATTTGAAAAAACGAAGATCTGAGACCTTAGGCCCGAGATTTTTTATATTGACAATCGAACCTGGGGCCTCACTAAATCTACACCTCGAAACCGGCGCGTGAGTTCGATCACATAATCACAAAAAATTGTATAAAGACAGTGATGTTTGGGGCTTGCGTCTTTATTTTGACTGATCAATACAGGCTCCGGTTATGCGCATACGCATTCCTCCATGGGACGGTTGACGAATCTTCTGTCAGATTTACACCGATCCTAAATCTGGGAAGGAAATATGGTTTGGAATTGTATAGTAGTTTAATGAGGGTACTGAACAAGTGATATAAAAGATATTCTTTGAATTAAACAATTTTTTTGTTTATTTTGAACATGTTAATTATTATATTTGATCAATTTAATGAAAAATATTCTTAATGAAAAATCTTAGAAATCTTTAGAAAATCCACTTTGTCCCATTACAGAGTGCCAGTGCCATTTACTTATGTTTATTTTCTTGATATTTTTCTCTCTAGACAGATAATCCATCCGCCGCCCGGTGCTTTCTATTTTGACGTTCTGCCTTTTTGCCACTACGGCCATGTCGCTTCCTTAGAACAGATCCTGATTTTACAGATACAAAAATTATAACTACAACATGTATTCTTCCATGATGTGTGAATGTTACTAAATTTAATCGTTATCAGACAGAATTACATTTTGCCACCGGGAAATTAATCATTGGTATAAACTCATTTGTTACCAACTTAGTTTATACAAATAGTTGGATAATGTGTTGTACTTATTGTTTAATAAGTGCAGCGCAACTGTTAGTTAATTATATCAAAAAGTGTGGATTAAGGTGACGTTTGCGAAGACCAGTCTTTGTTCTGCTTTCGGAAGGCGAATGAAATGTTTTTAACTTGCTGATGATTTATTTGCTTAGATTTCAGTTTTGTGCAAATCTTTTCAACCATATTAATTTTTTTCACTTCCTGTTACATCTATATTATACATAGGAACATCGTTATGGTACGATTTTAATCTAGAGATATTTGGGGGCTGAAAAGTAACAACTAATAATAATTATTAGATCAACATTAGATTCCAAGTCAAGTAACTGCAAATCTGACACAACGATGGTTTCACAACATCCAGATCCCAACCGTCTTATTACAAAACGCGGAGGACTGTTAGTATTTAATTTAAACAATAGGCTGCCTAAAGCAAATTGACAGTGACATAAGAGAACTTCAAATTGAGACGTGCTGACTTACTTTGGTCTGATAATGCCTTAAACATTGTACTAAAGTTACTCCTCGTTTTATAATCAAACGTTTTTTTTTTTATATGTAATCGAACAAATCAGAGTTGATCTCTTAAATGGTATATATAACATCGTAATTGCGACTCATCACGCTTGGTGAGAATCAACAAATCATAAGTTTATGTACATAGTATTTGTCATTGCGCAAGTTGGAATGTTAAAATTCACCCTCTGGCAATTTATTTGACTCTATATCATAATTAGCGAACACCATTGCTTATTGTTTCGCTTTTGACGGTCCAACGGTGCGTTGTAATTAATTTTGGACATTGTTTTTCATTTTATTTTCCCACAGACATTAGCAGTTTTGAGACCTTAAAATAAATTCGTTATGCATTTTTAATTTAATTAGACTAGATGATTATGACCCTCACTTGACTTAGTTAGATCCATCTCAAGTAAATATTATTGCTAATATTTATATTTGGTAAATTTGTAAAATAAATGTCGCCGTTAAATTGTAACTACACGCGGCAAAACTCGTTCAAAAGTAGTTCTATTATATGAGTAGTGTGCGCCAAAATATAATAAAAATATGTACCTATTATATAGATAAGATACCTCGACAGTTCAATTTGTTTGTGTTCTTGATACAATTCTTTCAATGTAACAAAACATCTAATGGCATAATTAAACAGTTGTTAGCATAATATTTACATTCTTATATTACTGAATGCCATTATCGACAGAAGTTGAGTGAAAATCAAAAACTTAATTCAACTGAATAAATAAATAAATTCGCAGAGTAGGAAGTAATAAACACTGTCTTTCAATAATGTTTTTTTTAAATAATTTTTGAGATCAATGTTTGTTTATTAGCATTTCTATTAATTTGGTGACAGTTGATATGATATTATTAATTATCTATTTAAATTATCACTGAAATGTGTCTTCTTTTTGAAATTAATAATTTCACATTTAGCGGTATGTTGGCAGAAATGTATGCTGTCAGTACTCACAATTAATGCGAAGAAAACGCATAGTGTCACGTATATTTTCATGTTGCGTTGGTCACTTCACGCACTGCACGATATAGCACAGGCACTGTGACGCGTGGTGCGCGGGCGCACCTTGTTCCGCGGACTGGAGCGCCGCCGCGCGCGCCCGCCGTCCGCCACCCCACTGCCGGCTGTGGTGGTGCTACGGAAATTGATACCTTTTTCACAACAGTAACAAAACAGTAGATATAATTACGAATATTTTTATACGCTAACGTGTATTTTCCCTAGAAAATAAACTAAACCCTCTGTTCAAGGCGAGTATATAACTCGTACGAATAATCATGACACTTGAGGGTCTATTCTAATTTTCCTCGTAAAGGGTCCCGGATATTTCGAATGGTTCTTATATTTTTGTTAGTGTTAACTGTGAAGATTATAATATTATTAAGTGCATCAGAGGCAGTGTCAGGTTCTACTTCTGTTGCATGATAAATTATCGGAAAAATGAGGGAGTCGTATTAGCATTACTGTCATACAGCAATCGGTATTTTCGAGCATTGTCAAGGCGCGTTCCCTTTGATGTTGATAACAATTTTTATCGTCGTCACTGTCTCCAAGAATCTGGAAAACGTTATTTTCTATATTTCACCAATAAGTTCAAATCGAACTAAAGAACATTTCATCTGACTTTTTGACATGCTTTACTTAGTATACTTTGCTTTAGCATAACATTGTGAATGCAAATTTGTACAAATATAATAATGCTATAAGTATTTTTTAATTTGTAGTCTAACAAATTTATAAACTACTTATTGAAGTTTGATCCAGTCTCGTTGAAAAGTTTGAATTGATGCTATCACACAAAACGAATTGTGTTCCAAATTTTCCAATAAAACTCATGATCCCCTCGTGCTTGAGGAGCCCCCGTTTGGAGATCGGTAATATTTTGCACTGCATTGCTACACTTTTTCTCCAGTAGTTGCTCCTTTATTAAAAGTGATATTTCTTTCACTACTTATTTCATAAACGTTACAAAATTGGAAGTCAATTATGGTAACTTTGCGTGATATGCAATTGCGTAATAAAAAGCATACGTTCGTTTATTATTTCCTTGCTGGTTCGTTCACTATTTGAATTTCTAAGTTGACATGTTTAATTTATTTACTGTAATGTTCGGTACCAGCATAAATAAGAACATTTCAATACAAAAAATATAGAGGGCATTATTATTACCAAGATGTTTTGTTAATGTTGATACTTTAACAAAACATTGGCATTTTATGTAATACTTGCTGTTTTTCCGCGACTTCGCCTTTCTTAAATTATAGCTTATTTACCCGCGTACGACACAGCTTCCTGTAGCTGAATGTTTTTTTTTCAGTTTTATTTTTATTTATTATTTATAACATTAGTATAAATAAGAAACGTATAATCTTTATTTTAATATAACTTTTCTGTATCAATTAAAACAGTTGCCATGCTGTTTATAATACGGTTAGCGAAAAAAAAATTAATACAGTATGTGACATCATGTAGGTAATTAATGATCGTTGACTTCAGTACTTGAGAAATACAAATAACAATTTTTTTACAACAGTTTACTATATCTGCCAATAAACCCTATGCAGTAACTAAAAAAATTAATACAGTATGTGACACCATGTAGGTAATTAATGATCGTTGACTTCAGTACTTGAGAAATACAAACAACATTTTTTTACAACAGATTACTATATCTGCCAATAAACCCTATGCAGAAACTAAAAAAAAAAACATAAAAAAGGCGGTTAAAGGGAACTTTTATTAAATTTATAACATTAGTTATTTAATTTTAATAAATAACCCACATAAAATATTGTTATTTTTGTGTTTACTGTTGTGGCTCGTGGTAGGTACTGTACATATTTGAATATGTACAGTACCTACCAGCAAGAAGCAGTATCGCTAGTCTATACTTAAAAGAATGCCTGACGAACAATACTTATTGCTTAAAATCGCATGGGAAATGCTGCAACCGACATCCGCATCTTAACGAGTTCTACAATCTTGATCAGATATTTGTTGATTACAGAGGAAGACAAAATGTTTCTAATATAGTCGATTCATGTATTAAAAATGAATTAATGTATTAAAAATGATAGAATATATAAACTTAGAAATCATAGATTTAGAATTTATAAACAATTAAAAATTTAAAATTTTGGCCTATTTGCTTAAATAACTTTGCTACCTAACCGAATAACTAAAACTAATTATGAATAGTTTTCATACAGCCAAGATATGGCTGTATGAAAAGTCGTAAGGAACGCACGAGTGAAAACTCGCGGAGCGGCGGTCGTCGCGTGCGCACTTTCCATCTCGTGGACTTTTCGCCGTTTTTTCAGTCGATTTGACTACGCACGCGGCCAAAGACTATTGAAATTTACAGAGACTATTGATATCCTTTTTTGTTTTGTTTTAAAGGATATAATAGAACTTATTTTTTTTCGCTTCCGTCGGCACGGCCGTTGACGATGAAAAATCTGATGAGAATCCACTTCACAAATCTTAGGGTTCCGTAGTAGACAAGGAACCCTTATAGTATACACGTTAATTACGCCGACGAAGTGGTAAAGTTAAATTTCGAAAATAATTTTTTTTTAGAGTATCTCCCCTACATGTAAAGTGGGGATGATACTTTCTTATTCCCTATAGTGTGGGATCCCTTTATCCCTATCGTTGGATAAGTCTTTCAAAAACATTGGGGGTGTAGTAACGCCGTTTTTTTGATTTAATAAACTTGAACGTGACTTATTATGCTACAAAGAGCTAATTTGTGTTAGAGTCAGATGTCCTCTACAAACTAAACAGTCATTGGTAAAAATTCAAACTACGGTAAGGTTAGCTTTACATGTTTAAGAGTGTTTAACTCGAAAATTTCAAACAACTCCATAAAAAACAACAAATGTGTTTTTCTTTACTTTATTCAATGGATAATGCGCGAGTTCGATTCGCACTTGGTCGGTTTTTTGAGTATATAGTCAGAGTAGATTGTCAATATTTCTTATAGTACATTATTATTTGTGATTTCATGTCCTCCGAAATCGCACGCTCATTTGGTTTGGTGCTGAGCCTCATGAAATTCTTCATCCGATGAATCAATTCTATGATTCCAATTTAGCAATTCACACCCTATTCTCGATATCAACGACCTCCATTCTTTAGCACACTTACCCTCTGGAATCCGTGTTTGACTTCGTCTCTGCTTGATTGGTTCTCTGTGCGCGGAATTCACTAGTGCGTCCTATTTTTGCGTAGTTCCATCTTCTTTGTCATCGATCAAGGCCACTTTAGTCTTTACTGTTATTATTTTAGAGTTTTTTTTTGTAATTTTTATATATCATTACTATGGGACATGTGTATTTGCTAGTAATTTATTATTAGTGAACGTACTGATCATTAGTAATGAATCGTTAGATGTTTATGCTTGGACAGATAGGGAATTCATCCACTTTTTTGTTGACTTGTTTACATTATAGTAATAGATATTTTTAAATAGAAATTATGATAATTATCATAAGTAGGAATCTGAGTCGGAATCGAGCACCAAGGCTTTCGTATAAATACTTTGGAAAACCATAAATACACTTTCGTAATATACTATTAACTATGTGATTCAATATTTTTAGGTCTAGTATTTTCTAGGGGAATCATCAATAAATTCACTAACTTTAAGACAATTTATTTTAAAATTGTAATAAATATACATAACCTAATTTAAAACACATATTATCGTTTGTAAAAAGCCATCTTGAGATCACCAACTTTATTATATTTATGTATAAAATCAGCTTGACAATCAGCTGTTAGAAAGAAGATCAGGCGTGAATTGATTGATGATTCTCCTACAAAATAAAATACTAGACCTAAAAATATTGATTCACATAGTTAAAAGTATATTACAAAAGTGTATTTATGGTTTTTCAAAGTATTTGTACGAAAGTCTTGAGGCTCGATTCCGACTCACACTTAGCCGGTGTTTTTTGTTGATTAGCTGTAACACTGCCCCATTATTTGTTATGATTTTCATATAGTAGGTAATATCTATAGGTATAGTAGGTAGTAGTTGCTTATATATTATTTCGTAATGGCTGTTAAACTCCCAGGATAGCTTTATTAGATTTAGTTGCCAATCCGTTGGTGTCGAAATTGCACTGTTATTGTTCACCGCTATCTCTCCACATCTGCGCTAATTTTCGCACCGCAGATTATGCTTCAACGTGCAATTATTGGAAACTATTCGCACGTGTGTTGTAATTCGTTTTCCGATTATTGTGCAGTAGAGTTATTCCATATTGTGTCAATCATCGTCGCTTCCTATTTCACTGTCAATATTGTCGAATAATTGAAAATAGGATTAATGTACTTTTATTATTTGAAATGTATTTTTTTACAATATTAGATAATGTACAAACGGACAAATTGTAATCCTGCTTCAGTAACATGTTACAAAGTTAATTATTATATATTTAAGTAATTTATTATTTTATCTTCAATCCTGAATGAACTTACAAAATATAATAATCCATTAGGTATTCTGCTTTGTATATCTCATAGCTCAGCACAAAATTTATACCGGAGTGATAATTGATTCCGTGCTTAGTTATTTACGAAACCCAAAAACAAATAACTGTTCTTGATAAAAAATGGATTATATACAAACACTAGCTTTCCGCCAACGGCTTCAGCTGAATCAGTTTAAAAGATATTAGCGTACAATGAAAATGAAGCGACTTTTGTTGTATACATGTATAGACGAGGTGTGTTTATAATAAATGTCACAGGTCAACCTCTCAAAAATAAAAAAAACAATGTCACTGTCTCCACAGCGTCTCTACCGGGCACAGAAGCGGCTCACCAATTGGTTGTGAACGTTCGCAATAAATGCACGCCAGAGGAAGCTCTGAACGTCCTCCGGGAACTGCCCAATCCGTTACGTGAGGGGGAACAGCCAGCGGCCGCGCAGGCTGCGCCGCACAACCCCCTCAAGATTGATGTGTTCGTGCAGACGCTTCTCAACCTCGGCAGTAAAAGTATCAGCCACAGTTTTGCTGCGATATCTAAATTCCATTACGTTTTTAAGGTAAGTAAAAACGTTTATTTTATAACGAAAATGTCTATGAATTAAAATTCATTATGAATTAAAATTCATTATGAATTAAAATTCATTATGAATTAAAAACTAAACTGTTTGTGTTGTGTTGTGAGTAGTAAGCGATAAAGTCCAGTGAACAATAGTACCATCAGCACTGTCCCACCTATAATAGTGCGGAATAAAGCATAAAAATATTATTTTTAAAATATCCAAAAACCATAATGGATATTATTGTAAAGTTGCTTGTATCATGCCTAAGCTACAAAGTGATTGATTCTTTTTAGTCCTGTTTCACTGTGGCTGCGTTGTTTTCTTAATAATTGTGGAATTAAGTGAAAAAAAAAAACATTTTTGTGACTGCGATTCTGTAGCGACTAACTTTGGCAGTTTTTAGGGTTCCATGCCACGGAAGGAAAAACGGAACCCTTATAGGATCACTTTGTAGGCCGTCTGGCGTTAAGACCCTTTTTTCTCAGGAACACGTAGTATAAAGCTAAAATTTATATCAAATACTCGGGTCTGCTGCCCCTTGCGAGCTGCGAAAAAATTAAACTTCTAAGCCAACGCATTCAAAAGATACAGCCGTTTATGTCGCAAATTTTCAAAAGCTACTGGGTACTTCCCGTGAAATCAGAATCTTGAAATTTGGTTTGAAGCAACGCCTTATAACACAGATGAAAGAAAAATTGCGCAAATTGTAGATTTTTAGTTACATCTTATAATAAAGTACCTTTAGGATATTTTAATAAATAGGTCTGCGCGGAACCCTCGTTGCTTGAGTCCGACTCGTACTTGGACCTTGATTTTTTGTCGAGAAAATTATATAAATTTCTGTTTTGATCCAATTACAATGTGATGCAGTTTTCAAATTTTAATTACAATTGATTGCAATCGCTTAAATGATAATTGCAGATCTTGGCGGAGTCTGAGGAGGCACAGATCTGTATACTGCGCAACGTGTGGGAGTTGTGGCAGCGGCACCCGCAGATGGTGTGCGTGCTGGTCGACAAGATGCTCAAGACGCAGATCGTGGAGTGCAGCGCTGTCGCCACCTGGCTGTTCTCTAAGGAAATGGCGCCGTACTTCACGCACGGCTACCTCTGGGAGGTGCTGCATCTCACCATCGATAAGATGAATAAACATGTCACTAAGCTCAGTGAGTAGTAGCACTAAACGTAGCGGCGATCGGTGTTTAATTTAGTATAACTACTATTTTACTGATATGTTCATATAATATCGAATAGAAAATAATGAATTTTATACAATTTTGTAAAATGTATTTTTTCAAGGTGGCGAATTGCAGGAAGCGAGAGAAGCTCTAGCTAGAGCTGACTCCAGCAGTTCAGATTCCGAAGACGAAAGCGGTACTAAAAAGAAAAAAGATCAAGATAAACCTACCGAAGAGGTATTTTATATTTTCGCGTTATTTTGAGTAAAGACAATTGTTTAGTTTAATTTAAAATATGGAACAAGTTTTTTATGAATTAGGTCTATCTGTCAGGATATTAATAATAATTTATCCATAAGCAATAATGTTGAGGCCTTACCGTATCACTTAACAGGCGGTGGAGCGAATGGAAGAGCGTCTAGAAGCGGCCCACATGGACCAGAAGAGATTGTTCCTGATCGTGTTCCAGCGGTTCATCATGATCCTCTCGGAACATCTCGTGCGCTGCGACACAGACGCTCGCGATCCGGACACGCACTGGTACCGCAGCACCGTGGGCAGACTGAGACAAGTGTTCCTAGTGGTCAGTATACACGCACTGGTACCGCAGCACCGTGGGCAGACTGAGACAAGTGTTCCTAGTGGTCAGTATACACGCACTGGTACCGCAGCACCGTGGGCAGACTGAGACAAGTGTTCCTAGTGGTCAGTATACACGCACTGGTACCGCAGCACCGTGGGCAGACTGAGACAAGTGTTCCTAGTGGTCAGTATACACGCACTGGTACCGCAGCACTGTGGGCAGACTGAGACAAGTGTTCCTAGTGGTCAGTATACACGCACTGGTACCGCAGCACCGTGGGCAGACTGAGACAAGTGTTCCTAGTGGTCAGTATACACGCACTGGTACCGCAGCACCGTGGGCAGACTGAGACAAGTGTTCCTAGTGGTCAGTATACACGCACTGGTACCGCAGCACTGTGGGCAGACTGAGACAAGTGTTCCTAGTGGTCAGTACACTGGGAGGATTGATACACAACAGTGTCCACTGAAACATTTAAGTTCAGATGGTTCAATTTCCCAAAATCTCCAGTACCTGAAATGTCCACTTCCCAAATTGTCCAATAGGGATGACGAGTAATTTTCTTTTTGTTTGTTCGTCAGGTAGATTGTTAAAAAACACTAAATACGTATTTTTTTGGTAATTATTAAATTACGGCAATACATCGACTTAAATATCACATGACGTCTGTCAGTCAGATAATATTTTTCTATTATATGATTGATGGATTTTTATATTATATGATGAATAAAATAGCTTTTTTTTACGCAGTCATCATCTCTATGCCAGAAATATCCACTGATGGCATGCACAAGTAAAGCGCCTTTTCATGAGGCGTATAAGTGTAGCCATTAATTATAGATTTGTCCCTTTAGAGTTCCCTGATACAAACATGTCACAAAGAAACTTGTAAAGGTACAATAATTACTATATTACTTATTAAAATAGAAAAGATATAAATCTAGTCCTGAAACAGCAATCGGAATACATTTCAGTGAGAGTACTGCCTTTTTTCTCAATCGCAATATCCAAAATCCAAAATAAACCTTAGGCAACCTGGGGGTTACCATCACCTCTTAAAGCAATGTTTAATCCGTGCAGCGAGCGGGAAAGCGCTATGCTGAATAATAACGGTGGCTGCACGTTGCATCCGTGCGTAATCCGTTAAACATTGCTATAAAAGCTCATGGTAAGACCCTGACCTTATTTTTGGGAGTTAGAATGGATTTTTCTGCATCAGTTACGACCGCTTGCTTTTATCGTGGTTATACTATGAGTAATCATAGTAAAGCTACATTTTTTAACCATTATTATTATTATTTATCTTTCAGCACCACGAGCAGGTACAGAAGTATAGCAGCACACTGGAGACGCTGCTGTTTACGCAAGATCTCGATCCGCATATTCTCGACGTGTTCCATCAATTCGTAGCTCTCACGGCTTAATTCATTTTAACATGTCTGGCAATTAATGTTTATATTAAAATATCAAATTATAGATATTATGTACACAGTGGAAAATCAGGTTAATTCAATATGGTTTTATTTGTGTAAGCACTGTTGCAATGATTTTAATCCTTAACGCTTCTAAGGTATAGTTCAAAATCAGCTGCGATAATTTGGCATATTGTGATAATCTGACGTGCTATTGTGTGTATATAAATTATATATTTAATTGTATCAAGAAAGTAACAGTATTTCCGTTTCGTTTGTCTACAATTTATAATACATTTATGGAATGTCACACTACGGAACTATTTTGGAATGATTATCGTCTCAGAAGTCATTATGTTAATTTGATTATGATCTATATTAATTTATACATTCTGTTGGTTTTGTTAGTAGTCGCACCAGTACATTAAGTTAAAACGTGGAATTTACGCAAATAATTTTGTATTTTATTTTCAATCACTTACATTGTGAAATTGATTAGAGCAATTTGACAGATGCGTATTACGCGCTGTTTCTTTTAAAAGTACCTTACCGTTTAATATAAACTCGAAATCTCAAAAATATCAATTTTATGCAGTTTTTATCAAGAGACAAATGAAAGAATCATCCATTTTGACTGTATTTACGTTAATCTTCTGCAAATCGAATTGCTATGCCTGTATGAAATTTTGTAAGTTAGTAAATAATCCATCAGCATGGCACATTTTTCATCTGGAGAAAATAAAATTACCTGATGTCAAATCGGTGAGTTTCACAATATTATTCTTTGTTTTGGGGCTAAGTAGTGATATGGAACTGTAGTTAATGTGACATAAAGGACTTTTTAGCCTAAAGAAAGAAGTTAATAATGTCCTTTAAAAGATTTAATTTCTTCTGGGCCGACTATAAGTTGTCCTAGATGTTTAGTAAGAATTAAAATTTATTAGCAATTATTTTCTAGTATCTTGAGTAAGTCGGTAAAACTGTTAGAACCAATTATTGCCTTATATTAATGAAACGGGATGTCATTTTATTCGTGGCAAATCATAAATGATTGTATGATTTGTTGACTAAAACTTCTTGACCTCCTGAGATAAGAGGATAGTAATAGCAATACACAATACTGTAGTAAAGTTATTTATGTACCAAAGTATATGTTTTTCTCGACTGATGCAGTGATATAATATCTGGCTCGGTTTTCTTACACTCGATGCGATATTATCGTCAACTGTTTCAAAATGAAGTTCACGATAAATCTACAATCGAATACACCCGTATATTCACATTGCATTGAGTTTAAATTTTATTAGTATATAATAAATTTATTGCTCGATATAATATTTTTTTTTCTAAGTTGCAAAACGCTTTATGGCAAACTGGCTAACAATTAATACTTGTATTATTTATTGAGAATGATATATATATTTTTCAAAACAAATTCTCATATGAGATATGGCTATTATAATACTTCATATTTAAATCTGTAGGCATAAAGTGTTTTTGTTTCAAACTCTTGAATTTAGTTAATGATTGGGGTATATAATTACGTTAATATAAAATATTGTTTGGTTGCAGACGTGTGAAATATTTTATTTATTTTATTTACTGTCTGTAAATAAATGGATTGTAAATTGATTTTGTGTTTTTTTTACAAGTCATTGACGTTTATTCTAAAGTTAAAAATGAGTTTTCCCATTCAGTTACGGATAAACGTTATTTCTATTGTCAGTAATGAGCACCTATAGTCAGAATGTTGATTTAATTCAGTGGAAATCGTTACTTTCCTATTTTTATTATGGCTACTAAGGAGGGATTCTGAATACCACAATTTGTTTGTTAGATCGAAAATAATGTCTACGAAGGATTAACGTAATCCTTCAAAATTAAAAAACGAAGACTTATTTAAAGCCAGGACGCATAGCATGACAAACTCGAGAAACGCTTTGTCTACATTCATTTGTCAGTTTCTCGGGTCGAGAGTGAGATATCGTATAGGCGCACCCGAGAAAAGTGACATTTGAGTGTGGACAAAACGTTCTCGAGTCATGCTACGGGTGCTGGTGTAAACCATTATTCCACAAACATAGGTGACAACACATTGACGTTTTTATACATCATTGGGTTAACACGTCTCAATGCGATGTTTTATTTTCTGTCATTGGTCAATTTGCTTTAGGTGGTCAATGGTAAACCAAGTATACTGCCTTAACTCTCGTTTTTTAATACTGATTACTTTTTTTTTATAATAGGGATAGGGTTTATTTTTATGTAAGGTAGATTATTGTAAAAAATTACATGTTTATGTAATTTTTGCGTAATGAATAAATTACAGCGATATATTGAGATGAAATGTCACGTGACGTCACCCTTTGCGATTTTCTACATAGTTATTGGCGTAGGGAGCCCCACTCTTCCTCAACTTTCAAAATATTTTCCAAACATTCATCGTGACCCGGTAATTTTGACACTGCCTCGTCGGGGCCCACTTCATATTTTTACTATGCTATAATAAAACTGGGAACCGATGCTTGGATAGCAGAGCACCAAGTCGAGGAGACATTATAAAGATGGGAGTGAAAGATACAATATTCAGTCTTTTATTAAAGTCGCAGAGATAAAATCAGTTGAGACATTTGAGTAGTTCTTCTACATCTTGTTTGGAGCCGAGGACGCATGGTACCCGCTGGTGAATGCTGGTTGGTATTACGTCTAGTACCGGTTCTTTTCCCGTACTGGCTACACCACCCGCTTCGGTTACGATGAAAGACATAGGATTGCATTCGTATAGAAGGCGGAGCTGTGGGAAAATGATAATAAAAGATAACTGAGACTACAGCAGCACAACAGGTTATTAGGAAAGGTTTCAGTAAGTACTTGGGTATTTCTGATTATCGAATTATGATCGAGGTATTCTATATTCTAGTTTAATAACATCAGTTCTTATGTCAGTCTTGATTGTTTTAATATTAAACTATTAGTCATTGTGCGAGATCAGTGCAAGAGCGAAATTGAATTTTCCTAGGCGCCACTCATTTGAGTCGATATTGCTTTATGATGTAAGAAAAGTTCCTAAGTACGAAAGGGAGAAGATCGTACTTGCGTCTGTAGATAGCGATAGTTGGCGTACAGAGATTTTATTTCTGTATTCTTTAACCGGGGGATAGCCTAAACCCTGTAGATACGTATACCTATGTGAATATACCGACCTTTCCGTTGGGCGCAGATTTAGTGGCGGGGTACATGAATATGCCGCCATATTTGATGGTGCGGTGCACGTCGGCCACCATGGAGCCCACGTACCGCGCGCCGTACGCCTTCCCACTCGCGGGCCGTTTCTTCTCCTCCACGTACCGCGCTAGACCTGCTTCCCACTCTGCCGCGTAACCTGATTAAAGATCATTATAATATAGTATATTATAATATAAGTAGTATTATAATATAGTATATTATAATATAAGTAGTATTATAATATAAGACATAGAATTCTAAGCTATAGACATATTTCGAAAAGGTCGTATGTAACCAGTGGCGGATTAACCTCAACGGAGGCCCGGGGCGGCAATAGACCCGGATCTACAACTTTTCCCAACATGATATTTCGTTACCATACCATATACTCGATTACGTACATCATTTAATTTTATTATGATTTTGGCGGATGGCTGCAGCCCATTTGGAGGGCTCTTAGGAAAGGAGCCCAGAGCGGAACGCCCACCCTCCCTCCCTAATCCGTCTCTGGATGTAACACCTGTGATCAGGTGACGTTCGATATAGGACTTAAATATTTTATCTATAGGATAAATGTAACTATATCTTCGCGAATTAGAGGTATAGCGACACTGATAACTTTTTCATTACGGATATGACTACGAGTATTACGTAGTCATATCCGTAATGAAAAAGTTATCAGTGTTGGTGCGTAAAGCCGCGTAACCTAATACCACTGATATCTATCGCTTCTGCCATGGTTTATATTCTGTCCTTCCCACTGTTTTAAATAAGTAGACTATAAGAGAACATTATTAAAATTTTCAGTATTGATAGTAATTGAATGTGATAAATAAACATGAATAGTTTTTCATAATATTACGACCGAAGTAGTTATCTTCGACGATTGACGTTATCAGTGCCGAGTGGGTCAGTAACATTAACTTATTGTGTATGAAATGAAGTAAACGAGTAATTTTGTGATTGAGAATGAGACGCAATACAAGGTCATGGTTTCTTTTAAATATTCTATAGAATCACGTATTTTAATGCTGGAAAAATAATAGGCGCTTTAGCTAAAGCGGTGTGTCATAGATAGCTATCAAGTAGGAATCATGTTTTATAACGTACAAATTCCATGGTGTCACTTTTGATTTTATAAAAGTCTTATCATAAAACGAAAACTTACTTTAGTACCAGGTTTAAACCATTATATAGGTTAATGGGTAAAATAAGTCGACACGTCTCAATTTGACGTTTTCTCTTCTGTCATTGTTAATTTGCTTTAAGCGGCCAATGGTATAAACTTAGTACTAACTTTAGTCCTCATTTGTAATAAGATGGAATGTGTTAGCGATTAGGATAAGAGCTATGTATGAAACGGCGGAGATTAGCTAATTTGTAACATAAGTAAATATACATACATATACTATGAACTACCTACCTTCGTTGATGGAGTAAATCTTGCCCTTTTCGGGTATCCTCATATTGGGGTCAGTAAGTATGAATTCGCCGATGGAGGGGTCGTACATGAAACCGTTGACGCCCTTACCCCTCCCGAGACTGAGCACCATCATAGTGGCGGAGCCGTATAGGGCGTATCCAGCTGCAACTAGTTCCCGACCGGGTTTTAGTGCGTCTGATACTGATGGCTCGCCTTCGGACTGTTTTCTATGGAACAAGGCGAGATATTTTTTGACTTAATAAATAGCTTTATGTGTAATCTGTTTTTCCATTACTTCATCCGCGTAAATTATAGCCTGTGAAATATTTTTTTTAAATCGGTCCAGTAGTTTGAGCCACAAACAATGGATTCGTTACGCTGTCTTGACTTAAGAATATAGTATGCTGAGAGTGGATTTAGAACTTTAAACTATTCTTTGTTTAGTAAATGCGTTTCAAGTAATACACAATGATTGCCTTATCATTAAATTGTGTGCGTAGAATGGGTACTATATGTTTATTAGGAGAAACTTTAGCTACTGCGTTATATTCATTGTAGGTACATCTCTCATTTGCGGAATATAATTAATTTAAAAACGAGTTACTATTGGAATTGCTCAATGAATCAATAGAATGTTTATTCTGTAATGATAAACCATCCACTCGTTCAGTTTACGACTGATAACGAAGTCAAGGTTAAATCCTGTTACTTGCCATGCACACAACGACAATATTTCTAATGTAATTGGTATTCATTAAAGATGTACTGGTTAAACATACTTATAAATGGCGAATATTGATCCAACTGAGACGAGGCAGTCTATGTTCGATGATCCGTCCAGCGGGTCGAAGCATACTATATATTTCCCACGCCTTTCAGTTTCCACCTGAAATTGCGTTTTTAAATATTGGTCGTAGGGCCGGTAAATAGGTGAGATTAGTAAAAACTTTTTATCACTGTAATATAGTTTCATAAATTATCTGAAAAATATAACTTTTTAACTTGTGAACATCCGAATATTTTGCGTTAAGGAAAAGCGAAATCTTGCTATAATTTTTCATCAATCAAATTCAAAGAAATTCGAATATTATAGATATCACCAAGAAGCTAGATGGTAAAAGATTATACACACCTGTATAACTTGAGGGTTCTCCTCGGAGACCAGCAGGCAAGTGGTGAATGAGGATTTGAGCATGTTGATGAAGAGATCATTGGAGAGTACATCCAGCTTCTTCACCTCTTCACCTTGTACGTTCATTTCACCAGAGATTCCATGTCTGGAAAAATTTTAGCATAAGTAAACAATCGATTATTTGAGGTATTACTTGTCTTGATCGAGCTGTTAATTGATAATGATGATGATGCCTATACTTTATAGGTATCAGATGTAATCTACGTAAGAAATGCAAGTGGCACAATAATCAATGCGTTTTTGTATAATGAGCTCACTTTATCCAGCCCTACCTTATGAATGGGATTTACGGTGGAACGAGCTTTGGTTTGCAGTTGCTTTTACAAAAGCTGTTCATCAGATGAGTAACGAAAAATTTATTACCTACTAGCTTTCGCCAGCGGCTTCGCCTATGTGGTCCCTAAAGAAATTTTTTGTGGGATAAAAAGTATCCTATTATCTAAGTCAGCTAATATCCTATCTGTATACCAACTTTCATCAAAATCCGTTCAGTAGTTTCTGCGTGATTGACGGACAAATATCCAAACAAAGAAATTTTAACATTTATAATATTAGGGGTTAAAGTATGAAATTGCCGTTTTATTGTAATAGGTTCCTTGAATTGACATAGAATTTCCATGGTTTGAGGTTTTCGAAAGAAACTTTTTCACATGGTTTCTATGATGTTTTTCTTTTAAAAAATGTGAAACATTTGAATATCAACTTTCAATTGTTTTTGTTATTTAATTTAGACAAGAAAGATGGATACTGCGAAAAATCGGAAGTAACGCGGCAGAAACAGCCGGAAATATCAATGTTGCGTTTGGAAGGGGTCTGCTAATGAACGCACCGTGTGATTTTGGAATAAACGCTTTCGTGATCGAAACTTCGACTTGAAGAACGAGCCACGAGCAATATTTGACTCATTTCAAATCAATAAAATAAAAAAAATACGAAATATGGGTGCCTCATGATTTGACTGATCTGCAGAAAGAAACACGTGTTGAAACTTGTGTTGCCTTGTTGAATCGGTACAGAAATGAAGGAATATTGGATCGAATTGTGACATGTTATGAAAAGTAATAAATTTATTAAAAAATAAAAAAATTAATTTGAGTCCCATTCTCCTTGTCGAAGATTCGATATGTTCAACCATGATGAAGAAATAAAACTGTAATCTACGTTAAATTTTATATCAGCTTTTGGTCAAAGTAAAGGAGAATACGGTAAGATTGATACGATAAGATACTATTTTCACTAATGAAAGGAGTAAATTGGCTGAAGTATGTCATTGTCAGAACTTATTAATCTATATGTATGTAAATTGTGTTCGTGCCAAGCCGGGCCTTATGCACCTAAATAATATGCATTGGCTTAATGAACTAAATAACAATGCTTGCAATCAGTGATTTCTTTTTATATTCTACCTAAATAGTTATATCCAAGTGACCGAGCCTTTCGGATATTTAAATATAGTAATTAAAACCATTCAACCTACTACACATTCAAGATCAAGAGTTAGTTCTTACAAATATTTTACAAACATTCACTGCCTCCATAAACAAGTTTGCATTAAGTAATTTGAATAACTGCTAACGTAAAATTGAGGGTGTGTCGGTCGGCATACGTAACAGTAGGTGTGTACGCTAAGTTATTATCTTATCAAAATGTGAACTTGAGTGACGAAATTTGTAATGAGAGCAATGATACAAAATTAACATCATTTACAATGTCTACCTACATTTAATTTTTCTCTTCGAACATTCTGTAGAATAGGGTTGACATTGAAAGTCATAGTTTCAAGATATTTTCTTTTTAGGTTGGTATATGTTGTTGTGAGTCTTAGAAAGATTCAGGCTTTAGTGTAGACTTTACTAATTCAATAAGCATGCACTGTCTGTGTGAATATTATTATAAGGATATTATTTCCATTAATTATTGTACTGGACTAGTTAAACTGTGATTGATTACGTAGGAAATTAAGAATTAAAAATAAAGCCCTGATAAGTAACATTTCATATTATTCACTGCATTCTAAAAAAAAGTAAAGTTTTGCAATACCATACGCCACGAACAGCACAATACAAAATTGTCTAATCCCACTAGATTTTAAAACTTAATACATTGAGGGTAGAGGTCAAAATCTATTGCAGAAAGTTATATTGTGGTAACCCGACGTATAGTCGTGTGTACAAGAAATATTCAATTTTTCGTCAAAATTCTGAAGAAGTATCTAATACCATTCATCTCAATCTTAACTACGCCGGACTGTTATATGATAATTAACAGATAAACTTACAGTTTAGCGATGCCGGCTTTCCTCACAGCCGATTGTATAGCCTTCACTGCTGTTTGTATAGAGTTGAGCAGCTGGGTGAGATCTCCTGTCGCAGATGGAGCGGTTCTTTGCTGAGCCAAAACCCAACGGGTTAAGGTCATAGCATTTACGTCGAACGCTGGCCCTTGTTGTGACATTTTCACGTAGAAATATTAAATTGTGTACCAACAAAAATGACGACACGTTTACTCAGCTGACGCCGGAGGACTAACAAACAACTCTGGCTTTCTATAGAGCTCGGCGAGTATTTTAGATTCCGAGCTGACGTCACTGATAAGTCTGTTTCCATTTTCTTTGGTGTTTCTGTCTGGCAGTTATTTCTTTTTACTGAGAATATTATAGATTACAAGATAGATAATATTGGCAGAAGAGTCTGTTATAATTCATATGTTATTGAATATTAGCTTGTGAATTGTATTGGCACCGTATTATTGCGTTCGTTACCCGCTTTAAGCACTCGTGACTAGCTCCTGGTTGGTATCTTAACTATATCTCTGTATAAGTATAGAGATCTTTCTTGACTTACCCAAATATCCCAAGTACCTGATAAATATACCTTAATGGGTAAGGGCAAAAGCTACAATTCATCATCGGCATGGGTATCAAGTAATTTTAGTGTGAGCGGATTTGAATGAAATTTTGATATTGGTATCTAGGTAAACGAGTATGAATTTGTATTGGAAATCTATTAAATCTTAAATTTTAATATTGGATTCTAATTTAAAAAAACTTTAATATTCCATAAACGATAGAATAAAAGTTTATGAATATTCATTACATATTAAATGTATATTATTATAAGTAAAACACTTATCTAAAATAATATACATTTGTGGCTCCCGGAATATCTGTGCTCTCGATATATTTTAGAAGTTCTTTATTTCCGAATATAATTGTTCGTAATGCCAATAGACATTGCTATTCTATTTGGATTTACTGATGCAAGAAGAATATAAGAACATCGAGTGAAATAAATGATAAGAGTTGTTATTAGTTCACGAGTCAAATTTTATCACATGCCTATTACTTAAGTATAGTTATGTACTAATCAAATCATTATTTTTATCATTATAAAACATAATCAGTTCTTTGCGATTGAAGAAATTAGTTAAAATAAGTTTGTAAAAAAACACAAATACATTTTAATGACGCACGCTGCACGCAGTTCATTTTTGCCGCTCCCTCTTCATAGACCGGGCCATGATTCTCTTAGAGAGCTCAGTAAATACATAGATTAGATAATTCAAGATTTTCAGATAATTGTATTTGCTTTTGCTTTTAAAACTATCTAAAAACGAAAATGTAATAAATCCTATCTATGGCTTAGCTAATAGGTCCTCAGGAGTCACGATAACGTCTTTAAGTCAGCCGGTTGCACAAACAGCCATTTAAATTATCATTAGTGTAAAAGAAGCATTACAGACAGAAAATTTCAAATTTAGAACAATCATTAGAGCGTCATTAAATGTTTGTGCAAATGCCGCATATGCTGTCGATCGCCAGCTAGTTAGTCGTTACGTTAGCAATAGCAAATAAGTCGCTACGAATACATATACCGGTCTTGAGAGACGTCCGCCTTTCTTTTTAATAGATTCTAGGTTCGTAAAAGCGGTATTACGTACTTGGCGCAAGAATGAACGCATCGTATGTCTACAAATTCTAAAGAATATTTATGTTTTTTGAAAACAGATGACTGTTTTTTGAGAACAGTAAAAAATATTATTTTACACTCACTGCTGTTACTAGGGATGGCCGATATCTTAAAAAGAGTTACTCTGTAAACATTAAAGTCCTTTTTTTTACTTGAGGTAAGTGGTAAACAAATAATTGGCAATTGCAAATCAAGATATAAGAAAGGAATCGCTCAAATTTAAGCTGTAATAACTTCTGATTTATACTAGTTTATACATTGATTATATATTAAAAAAGCTTGAAATATCATTCAAAAGCGCAATTCTGACAATATCAAACATCCAACAGACCAACTAAATGACGCGTAAGTTTTATATTTTCATTTTACATGTAGGATTTAAATTATTCACATGCGACATGAGCAAATAAGCCAATAACAAAAGAATAAGAAGACGCAGAAATAAACGAATTGAAATCGTGACATATTGGGTAGGTTTCAAATAAACTGTTCTTTTACATTTTGATACATTACGATTTATTTTGAACCACCGTGAGGTTCTTTTCATTGAAATTTGTCATCAGGGATGATAACATTTTTTTGGATGCAATTCATGCATGCATGCAAAAATATATATCTACGGTAGGTTTGGTAGTCACAGGGGCAGCTGGCCGGTTCGCGCACCGGCCGGCACTGTACGCTCCTGCCTCGTCGTGGGGGGGCGTCTCGAATGTCTCTGAGACGTACCCCAACCCGCTGTGGGACCTGCCCTTTTCAGGGCGGGCCGAAATGGGGGCGAAAGACGCGGTGTATGGCCTTCGGGCCGATCCCGCGCATCGCCTTCCATGCGAGGGACATCGCTGAGTTTTAGTGGGTAAACTCCTGTTTTTTGTCTAGCCCCTTCGGGGGTGAGGCCACAGGAGGAGTCCCACATCACCCGTGGAGCGGGAATGCGTAACGCATTTCTCAGCGTCAAAAAAAAAAGAAAAAGGTTTGGTAGTCATTAAAAACTAATAATTGTATTGTACTGGCAGGTAGAAGAGAGAAGTTTAAGTTAGGATAGGTAGCATGTGCAATTGTTGAGGGAGACTGCTTTACTCTCGACCTTCATGGTTTAAGATTATCTTCTTAATTAGTTTAAAATTAATCTTTTGATCATTCAAAACATCTTTTGGTTCAATCATAATCACTACATCTTTGAAAATAATTGCGATAGACTTATATTAGAAAATGGGGATGATGAACCGAAGTACTTAACTGGAACGGTGGATTTTGAATCCCTTATTAAATTACGTTTTTTTTCCGGCTCTCAACCTTAGGGGTTCGGAGCCACCCTCCCAACCGGGGAAGGAGGTGGTGAATTCTTCATTGGATACCACACAGCCGGCTGTGAGGTTATGTCAGACTCCTACTGACTAAACACCGCCTTGGACAGCTGGTTACATGCCCGGAGGCAACGAACCTACGTGAATTGTGACATCGAGATGTTAACCGTTACCCCGGGGGGCTCGGCTCATCGGATTGTAATACAGCTGATTCCCTGAAGGGGAACGGTCAGCCAGATCGGACGAGGGTATGACCTGAAGGGTCGGGGTGTGGAGGGCGGGGAGGGGAGCATCGCATGCCACCAGAAGGGTGCTATTTGATGCCCGTAACAATTAGTGGGCCTGCATCCTGAGGGGATAGGGGCGGTTTTGGGAGAGAGACAGAAGCCTTTGGTGAGGGCTTCGTTTGAGAGGGTATCGGAGGGGGGGGGGGCATATCGGTTGCGGAATGATTCGCCTTTGATAAGGCGGGGAAGCCTTTACCCTTCTTCTTCTGTCAAATCGGCCACACAGTATACAGGCCGGTGGGGTGAGAGTGTCGACTTCGAGAGCACTCCTTTGTGGGATGTGACTCGAGGCACTTTACGCACCTCGGAGTCGCGGAACAGTTGGCCGACATCGGTGGCACTGTCCCGGTGTACCGCGTCGATGAGGGGGTTCTTCTTTAACCCCAGTAAGGCCGCAGACCCTAAGGTCTTTAGCCTAGAAAAAGTCGCGAGCGTTAGGGACATTTGAAATGATGAGTAGAGCCAGAAGGAAAGGCCTGCCGGCTCTATTATGCATTTTATTTAGATTAGCCTTGTTCATTTAGATCCTTATGGATCAGATTGGTGGCGAGTTCGTACGGAACATTTCTCAGAATCGCACGAACTTTACGCTCCTCTGGTAGAGCGTAGGTATGGTAACTCATCTTGTGCTGGGTTAGAAGTCTAGTGAGGGCTCTATAGTCCTCACTAGTGGGTGTTTCCACCCGGATAGCTATACCCATGTTTTTGGCATGGGTGTAGCTTATCTTATTTGATGTGCAGAGATTCGAGACCTCTGTGGCTACACCACCAGTAAGACAGTAATAAGACTACATCAGTTATAGGAAAAAGACAGTAATAAGACTACATCAGTTATAGGAAAATTTATTTGTATATCCGCCAATGAAATAAGGAGCTCTTAAAAGAACTATTTCAACGTCACTGTCCGTATGAAACAAAGGAGAAAGCAACGCAACAAGTGCGTGTCAACAGCTGCGCGCCACATGTCAACCTTCCGCAACGCAGTCACCCGCACGCTCACCCGACGCCTGGCAAAAAGGATCTCGTTAACTCTTTCAACGTCACTGTCCGTATGAAACAAAGGAGAAAGCAACGCAACAAGTGCGTGTCAACAGCTGCGCGCCACATGTCAACCTTCCGCAACGCAGTCACCCGCACGCTCACCCGACGCCTGGCAAAAAGGATCTCGTTAACTCTATGCCAGCCTTTATACGCCACGTCACACGATCCCTCGTCCCGCGTCTCAGTCCCTTTCCCTTTCCTCTCGTCACTTTCCCCTTCCATTGTAAATATTGTAGCTTTCTTGTAATTGGTTTAAAATGTACATTTCTCATTGGTTAAGTTTGTATTTATAATTTTAATTGGTTAATATTATATTACGTTTTAGTATAAGTAGCTGTAAGATTTGTAAATAAAACATTCCATCCTTCCACCTTCTACGGAGTTTTACTACTCGACGACAAGCAAGCCTACGACCCGATCTGAGTTGCCAAACCTCTACCCATCTTGATTTGTCCCGTATGAATACGGGAGGCAGAGGTTTGGGTTTACCCGGCATTAGAGCGCATTTGTTATGCGGCCGCAGCGGGGTGAGGGAGGGAGTATTACTAGGAGTATTCTCCCGAGTGACATTCTTGCCGGTATTGCCGAGGGAGGTTTTCTCGGCGGTATTGCTTACCGAGGACATCCCGCCTCGTGCGGGGCTTGGGAGCGACGTTGTCCGAGGAAGCGTCCGCACTTGCTCTAGCGGAGCGTGGCTTACGACGCTTCCTGCGGCTTCGTACCGTATGAAAAGAGTTGGTGGATTCGTCGGAATTAGACGTCCTGAGAAGGTCGTATCGGCAATACCAACCGTTATATGCAAGAGAGAGAGAGGAGTAGTTGTATTTCACTCGTACATCTTTCCGTCACACCTACCTTGGTAGGTTAGAGGGAGATAGGGCGAATGTGCAAAAAGACCAACCCCGCACCGGAGCGAGGGGGGAAGGGGGACGCGGAAAAATGCGGCTATCCCTAATGGAATTAGCGGCAAACCTTCACCATTGGGACAAAGCCCAAGTGCACTGAGATAGGGTCTTCGGTGTTGTTAAAGCCTAAGGGGCCTTAGCGAGCGCACCGGGATCGCTCAGCCGGCTTAGTTGTCATCGTATCGTATCCACCGACTCAAGAAGTTGAAAGTGAGTCAAGCCCTACTGTTTTCTACTGTTTTAATGTTTTGAAAAAAACAAAGCAGCAGGGCCTGTGCTCGGGGTGTACAGAAGGCACGAGATGTACTCACAGTTTGGGTAGAAGAGAGTCGTGTACGCGCACGGGGACGCGCAACGAAAGCTGAGAGCGGAATGGAATGCCAAAAAAAAAGTTAATTACGTTAAATGACATATTACTTTTTAAGTTAAACGACATAGTTTGCAGACTTAAAATTATTCAGGCAACTATGAAGATGACGGGCGTGTTACATATAAGTATCTTTTTCATAAAAATATTGCAGCGACATTGTCACAAACTTGTATCGTCATATTTGACGCAGCAATTTAGAATCAAAGAAAAATCAAATTTGCCCGTAGTTTGCATGCTATCTGGGTTGTTACATTATTATGTGTATATATTTCTTCAAATGTCACTTATTATTTTAAATATGTCTTCGTGTAATTATTATATTTCATTTAAATAAATGCTGTTGTTATGAAATGTAGCTGCGTGGTCGTCTATACATTACTAGATGGCGTTATGCTGAAATAAATCGCGCTGGCGAAAGTACGTGTGCCATATATGTATAGATAACATCATTAGGATAACGAGGGATGGTAGCTGACTAGCTGTTCTAGAACTTTTTGGTAATGCCTTGAATACACCGGTAGGGTCGAGGCCAAACTAGAACATTCTAAGCGTTGTGTCGGTCCCTATAAATACGCGGAGGGGTAAGCCGTCCCAGCAATCTAGCATTCTTTCAGTGACTGTGCGAACTGAATACGAGATCGATCGGAAGCAAAATTCAAAGCGAAAATTAACAAGGTGAACTATCTGAATGATCGAATAGTGTTGTGAAGCCTAGAGGTACCGATACAAATACTATTGTATTTTTAGTCGAATATAACTAATTACTTAAGTAAAAGTAATAACTTAAATAAAAAGTTAGAATAATATTATTATAAGCTATTGACAGCTTTTATTGTATTCATATTTTTGCCTTTTGGTTAAAAATATATGTTTAATATACTCGGGTAATTATTTCTACTAGACTATAGACAAGAGTGTTGTTTCATGCACGATATCACTTGTTCATCAGCTCTAGAATATCGATACCAAAGTACTAAGTAATAAAAGAAAAGTATCGAAAAAGTATTTGTATTAACGTGAATGGTGTTTCCCTAAATAAAGTTAGGAAAAAGGCGTTCAGAAATTTTTCGATATTGAAATCGCTGTTACTACTATACTAACTAAATATCGGTTTCCGACACATTGTTACATCCCTATCCCTAACAGTCAATATCACTTCGAATCCAAGATTTGGCTGTATGGCTTAGTTCCTTCGCCTGTCCCATGGACGAATTATAATACTACTACTACTACAATATCACTTCGCTCAACATGTCAAGTTGTGGGTCAACAATATACCTACTAAGTCTGTGGTCAACAATCGAATTGTCAAAAATCCAAAAAAAGCAAACATCAACATCAGTGCGAATCAATGAATAGAAAGAAATAAACTTAAATTTTATATAAATAATAATGGCACCTAAACTAAAATTCGCCGAAGGTAAGTGTTTAAATACAAAATTAAATTGAATAAAAAATTGAAAATAATTAATAAAATTCTGTTGTGCTTTCAGGTGAAAAAGTATTATGCTTCCATGGTCCCCTTATTTACGAAGCAAAATGTCTCAAAAGTTCTGTTACAAAAGATAAATATGTTCGTTACTTGATACATTACGCCGGGTGGAATAAGAAGTAAGTACATCCAATTATTTTTGTAGAATAATATTAAAATCAAAGATACATTTTATATTTGGAGGAAGCTTTGCAGGTTATATTTAATGATTCTAGTCTTTTAGTTCTAAGGTATAGCTAATATATTGTTATGTACCAGTGTTTTTGTACTAATGAAACACTTTATAAAACTACACATCTGAATACATCCACATATTACAATATTGTAAAATTTCATTTGATATTGATGCACATATGTTTATTAGGACTATATTTAGTTCACATATCTTTTAAATCATTATGCTTAAGTTTATTTTTCACTGTAGGTAAATGAAAACATGTATTCAATAGATTTTTCTGTTTTACTATTTTCAGTTGGGACGAATGGGTACCAGAGAGCCGTGTGTTAAAATACAATGAAGCAAATGTGCAGCGCCAGAAGGAAGTACAAAGGGCACACTCTGCACAACCTGCTAAGACAAAAAAAAGTAATGTATATGTTTCCTAACTTAATTTTCAAACACACATTTCTTTTATCAAAGTTGTTTTGGATGGTTTCTTTAATTCATGGCCCCAATGTCGGAACAAACAAATAATTTGTCATAAAAAATAATATATTTTATTTAAATTGTTGTTTTTACACAGATTTGTAATAAATTTGTAAAGTTTATAGACGCAATGCATCAATATGACCAGTGCATGTATTTTTATTGCATTGTTTGTAAAACATCTATGCAAATTTGGACTAATGAGTTGATCAAATTGATTAAAAATTTGTTTTTATTGTTAGCTCTAATATAAATAAATAAATAATTATATAATACTAAGTAAGTTCAGTAGCTTATGGAAATCTGAAATAACAAAAGTGCTCCTACCTATCATAACAAAAGAAATTAATATGAAAAGACTTTTACATTGACCTGACTGGCACTAAAATAGGTTCAGTTTAACTCCAGTTCATCTAGTCTTAATCATCCATTGTATGTGATTAATTAAAGTAAGTATTTATGTATATTTTGCAGCACCAGCGAAAGGACGAAAGTCTGAAGCAGCTGCCTCCACTCCTGCCAGAGATGAGTCCAGAGCTTCCACACCTGCTGGTGAGAGAATATCCAATGTCAAATATGAATAGAACTTGTAGTTTTGAAAACTATATCTACACTGAAAAAACTAGCATCATCATAACACTTGTTAATCTTTTAGCTGTATAATTTTAATGGAAAAAATGGTTGCAAACTTTAAAAGTGTGGTGTGTATATCTATCTACATAGTTCATATACTACTATTATAATATATGAACTATGAATAATTTTTTATGCAAATGAAAAATTGTAATGGATCAAAAAAAAAACTGTAATATTTTTGCTGATAATTATAATTTTTTGTAATATTCTGAATGTAAACTAGGATTTTTATTTAATTATAGAAAATAATACTTAATGTTACTCCATATACATATTTAGCTCCAAGGTTGAGGGGGGTACAAACTCCCTCAAATGGATTGAATGCAGTTTTCTTCAATTAAATAAAAATATATATATATTAGGCAACATTACTTACATTGCTCAGATTCCTGAGTATCTGAGGTAACTAAGGTAACACAACACCCAGACCAATGACAATATAGAAAAGTTAATTTTCTATATTGACCCAACCTCAGAGGTTGGAAACACCTTGAAACCAGCGAGCGAATCACTACAGAGGACGTCAATTAATTCAAGAGGAAGGTGTATAATTTTAGAATACAGGACCACACAGGAGAAGCTGTTGGTAGAAAGCGTGTTCTATAGTCAATTCTTGTATACTTTGAAAACAAAGTATTATTACCCAAATCACCCAGATGTACAAGGTACAAATATTCAATAAAATTGTGATTAGTTTGAAGTGATTCTAAATTACATTCTAATTATGTTTATAATTTTCAAATTTAGATAATTCATTATAGCTCAAAGTCCTCCTCATTAAACCTAATGGACAGTTGTGAAACTGACTGTATGTCTATTTATATATTTAATATCAGTAATATTTTGATTGCAGGTAAAGATTCAGAAACAACCCCTGCGCCGGCTAAAGCTTCTAAAACTCAAAGCAAGGACACACCCGCTGACTCAGGATCTGACCAACCAAAGTTAGTTACAGAACTATTACTTTAAAAATGGAGACTATTTAAAACGAAACAAAATATTGAAACTTGCCTTTATGTAGTGTACAATGTAATGTAAAGTTTCGCAAAATATTTTTCACTAAATTAAAGTTAAAAATTAATTGTAAATCACAGTTTTGAATAACCTAACATGTTTTAGCCATATTCAATTTCGTTGAGACAGTGTTAAAAACTTATGGTTCAGTTACACTGGGACTCCTACTAGTTCTACTATCAATTATCGTCTGTATTTGATATAGAATATATGTATAACAAAGAAAGCTAATAAAATGCTTGGTTTCCTCATAAGACAGAGCCCTTATATTCATTAGAGATATTTCTCTTATGAAGTAAGCACAGCATTCTTTTGGAAATGTTGGTTCGTTCTGGCTCTATTTGAATACACATCTACAGTCTGGAATGCTAATTACAAAGTACGTATGTTGAAAAGATTCAAAATATTTTTTTTTTCAAAGCCCACAACTTTAAAGGGAAAAGCAGTAGTGTATATGGCATATGCAGCTTGAATTCCTTGAATTGCGTAGATAAATCGGGACCAAATTTTTCTTTATAAAATATTGCCGATTCCCTTTATCTGATACAAATAACCTTCTTTTTTTTGAAGTAAACAGAGTACAATATTGTAATTTATTTCATTGGTTACTATTACAGGCTTTTGTTTTTTATTTTATTTTTATACTATTCTTATAATGATTGAAGAAACTATTGGCCATTGTTGTATCCTATTATATTAAACTATTGGTGAGATTTTGTGCTGTATGTTTCTCATAACGTATTAAATAAATAAATAAAATAGAACAATGGCCAATGAAAGCGAGGAACAGGAATCGCTCGCATGCCATACTCGGATGACACCGACCAGTGTAAATGAGTCATAATTAATGCTTACAATTTGTTAAATCACCTACGTAGGTGTAACAATGTTAAGGATAGTACCTAATTTACTGTTATTAGGTTATTAACGCAAAAGTGAAAGTTTTTATTAACTAATGCACTTATGAATATGCAAATGTCAGTTATTATAAATTATTTTTTAAATGCCCTTTTAAAATTGGTCGATTGCAGAATTAAGCATTACAGTTTTGATATAAAAGTCAGTCACTTATGAATAAATTTAGTTATTACTTAAACCTTGTATCGAAAGTATCTCGTTATATTTTGTATTAATACAAATAGTCTATTGAACAGAATGTGTGGTCCAAAAGATATCGACACTTTTAAGTAAGATATCAATTATATTTTACCAAGAAACTTTCAAGTAATGAAAATAATGTTATATTCTTATTTTTCAATTTATTATAATCTTTTTGGTGAATTGTATAATACCTATCGGTTACATTATTTATTAGAAAGTACTCAATTAACGTAAATATGTATTTTTTACTTTGCAGAAAAAAACGCGGGCGTTTGGATCTATCAATAGAATCTGAGGAGCAGTATCTAGCGAAGGTCGAGGTGAAGATCAAGATACCTGAGGAGTTGAAGGTGTGGCTAGTGGACGACTGGGATGTGATCACGAGACAACAGAAATTAGCCATCCTCCCCGCCAAATTGACCGTTTCACAGATAGTAGATAACTACCTTGCATTCAAAAAGTCCAGTAAATCACATAACCAAGCGAAGGAATCCGTCCTCCTTGATATAACGGAAGGAATCAAAGAATACTTCAATGCAACGCTGGGCTCGCAGCTGTTATACAAATTTGAAAGGCCACAATACAGTGAGATATTACAAGAGTACCCGGACACACCCATGGCTCAGATATACGGGTCGATACATTTGTTGAGATTGTTCGCTAAAATGGGTCCGATGTTAGCGTATACGGCTTTAGATGAGAAGTCTCTGCAACACGTGTTGACTCATATGCAGGACTTTTTAAAGTATATGGTGACGAATAGATCAACGTTGTTCAATTTGCAAGACTATGGGAATGCGACGCCTGAATATCATAGGAAAGTTCAATAATTGTTCGATAATCTAGTGACTAAGCTTAGTGATTTAATAAATGAATTGTATCGTAATTGTCTTTTTAGTTTGATTTTGTACTCTAATGCCATATAAACCTTTTAAATCGTGTAATCGAACCTTAGTTGAGGTTCCATACAGAAATACTGTCGATATATACTGACTAGCAGTGAGAGATAGATATTAAAATCATTTTAAAAAATAGAATCTCGAATATAAATAATATCAAAATTTTGTAAATTGTAGCTTTTGCCTCTTCTGACTATAATAAGGTTGCCGACATTTGATCTTTACTATAATATTATAAAGAGGAAAGTTTTGTTTGTTTGCATTGAATACGCTCCGAAACTTAAAAAAAACGAAAACATGATTTTGGCGGATGGCGGCGGCCCCCCCCCCCACGTAGTCCGCCGGAGGGTGACAGACTTAAATATGCTGTTTGAAATGGTGTTTGTTACGTAAATTTTGATAAAAACTGTTTCCAAAGAGACAGAACCCACTTTAAACTTTAAAAAAGTCAGGAGAAGGTTTTCTGTATATTATTAATTAAATAATGGGCGCTCAACTGCAATGCATTTTTTTAATAAGTCGCTTTTGAGATAAGTCCTATTTTTTATAAATTTTTCTAAAATTTGAAGTCAGTTTCTATTTCTTTGAAAAAAAGTTTTTGTTTCGTGTTTTTTATTCATATTGATTTTTTTTATTTAATTGGTAACACTAAAAATATTAAATAAAAATATTCAACATAGTGAAAGCCTTACAAAAGGAGATTTTGTTTATTTGCTGGATATAATTTTTTCTTGATTAAGATTTGATTGCTTGTTTGTATTTTTGCATTGGACATGCTTCGAAACTATTGTTTCTAGTTATAAAAGTATAATTTTCGCAGGTGAAGTCGCGAGGAAACAGCTAATTTGATAGAAAGAAGATATCAATGAATATATCTACTTTTATAAAAAATATACATATTCGTTGCACATAGAAAAATCGTACTTTCTGATTTTGAATTAATTCGAAATACGCAATCTTTTGTATTTTAGCTGAAATATTTAAATGTTATGTTTATATCATCTACATATTTAGGTGATAGATAACTGATGAAAAGCGTATTTTGTTTTGTTATAGTAGGAAAACTACTGATTGGATTTCATAAAATTTATATGGGATAACCTTGTTTAATTAAATAAATCGGTTTACAATTGGCGGAAATATCGGTGAACATATACAAAAAAAAAATACTTCGATTTTGAAGTCGGTAAAAACTATCACAAGACAACCAACCATCACAAGAATTTGAATCTAATACCCTCTGAGCGGTTGTCTTTAACGATTTTGTATTTGCTACCGGCAGGCAGTAACACATTTTGATTGATTCCAATGTTGACCAAATCGAAGCTTATTTCTTTATTTCCAGGTTTCCGAAATAATTAATTGACAACAGATTGGGGCTGAAGAAATTGGGCATTTGTTACTTCATTACCGGTTACAACCTGCCGTACTGGCGACGGTACAGTAATGATAACAAAATGTTGCAATAGCTTTCCAAACGTCACACGCATAAATAATACAGTCACACGTGTTATGTTAGCCGCGTTGCACTTATGTTGACTCATCGGCCTCACGCGTAAAAGTTATAAAAATCCTTTTTTAGCCAACTGCGTGACATGTTGCTGTAGTATTTTTTAGTTACTACTACAATGTTTTCTTTTTGTAAATTCTCTTCACTTTTTAGTACCTATACTCAGACTCAGGTGTTATTTTTTACTTTTTCCGTGACTTGGGATTGCTCTTTTTCCGGTAATTGTCTTTTGAGCTCTTTCTTATTCTATTTTACAATACTTTCACGACTTTCACAAGTGCTTGTAACAGCCTAGACTGAATAAATGATTTTGATTTTGAATATTTTCTACTTGTTTTATTTTTACAATTAATAATTTATATTTATTTTACGTTTATTTATACCCCACAGGGCTAACTTCTATATCTATATATTGATTTCATTTAATATAAGAATTAAAATTAAGTGGAGAAATAAGAACAGTTTAGTATAACCTGACGTGCTGTTGTTGACTGATATATTTCTTTTATTTTTCCTCTGCCTTCACATTCGTACTCTGATAACTAAATATTTAAAATTGTTTTTAGTTCATAATTTGATTTTATAGCCAGCACTCTGATAAAGGTGCTTAGGTATACCTATTTAGGTATACCTAGTCTAGCGATAAATTCTGTTACTGGCTGTTTACATACATTAAAAAAAACATTAATTTGAATATCGAACATTAGCTTCTACGATAATAAATAGACTTCTTTCCCGCCATTATTGTATCTTTTTGTTTAGAAATCATTTGTTTTGAAAATGGAGTGGTGCACTAAAGAAAATAGGATTGTAGTAATTGCACTATACAAAGTAAGGAGCCAGCCGACATTTTTGATACATTGAAAAAGCTAGGGATTAGCCGAATGTTTATGTATCGTACCATCCAAAGGTACCTACACTGAAATGCCGTTAATGCGGTCAAGGCCAGAATTCGTCGAAATCCCATAAGGAAGCAGAAAATCCTTTCCAGAGAAATGAGAATCAGCGAGGCCATCATTCCAATGGATTTCCAATTTCCAATGGAAACCGTTCGTAAATTCATCGACGAATGGCCCGACCGTTTAAAAGCGTGCGTTAAAGCTAAGAGTGGACACTTTGAATAACTAGTATAGTACGTTAACATATCTTTTTAACTCTACACAATCTAATCACATATAAAACTCTTATACAAAATTATTTTAAAAAAAAATATCGGCTATCCCCTTTGTAACAGAACTTATGGCTATAGGTATTTGTAGATAATATAGATTGTAGTAGGAAGTATAATTGAATATCTTGCATAATAATATTATAAGAAATCATATACAATAGGAACTTAGCATGACTTTTATGGCAGTAAGCAATATTCTTTATGAACTTGGGAAATATAACACCTACCTACTTATTAGGTTTCGTCTATATTCATTTGAAACTTGTTTTAATGTATATTCATTTGAAACTTGTTTTAATGTATATAATAATTAGTTTAGTAGATGAAAACACAGTTTAAAATGGAACGCGTAGCTAGGTAATCTAGGGCCCTGGGGCAAAAAAAAAATGGGGCCCACTGCTATCAAAACTGGTAAGGTTTTTTGAAGTAAAATCATTAAATATACAAATACTTTAAAAATGCTAAGAAACTTTATCATCAGCTCTTTTTCGTGCATGGGCAGGTAATAAAACTGGGCCTTCTTGGCGATCAATTTCCATTTCAAGCGGTTGCACGCATTTCGGCCGCATTGAACAAGGGTACAGTCGGTCAGATTTTTTATTGTGTCTGTCCAGCGCGTTGGAGATCTTCCACGTGCTCTCTTACCCTCCAACTGGCCCTGAACCACCAAGCGCTCCATTGAGGTCTCATTTCGGTAGATGTGGCCAAAGAACCTCATGATCCGCAGCTGAACAGTCGACGATAGTCGTTCTTTGATATGAAGTTCTTTTAAAATCGATACATTTGTGCGAAACGCCGTCCACGGTATTCTTAAGAGGCGTCTCCAGCACCACATTTCTAATGCATCGATTTTCCGGCGATCCAGCATTCTCAGGGACCAGGTCTCGGATCCATAGAGGAAAATTGGAAAAACTAGGGATCTCATTAGTCTGACTTTTGTCCTTTTGGTGATTCTCCTATCCCTCCAAACCCTCCCCAACCGCTCCACCGCAGACCTTGTGATTGCACACCGCCGGATTAAACACTTACAACATAAATTACAATTATTTTTATACTTGGTGTAGGTATTGAGCAATAAAACGAAAGAAAAAAGATTCAAGGGTTTATTATATATTTATTTGTTCATAGATACGTTGCACCAGCTTACTGTTATTTAACCTATCGCCATGCAAGCTATTTACAAAAATTATCAATAGAAATATTTTGTCCAGAAGTACTTGCAGAAGGCTGACTAAAAAACTTGTCAATTTTGGGCAATTTTTGTTTACTTTCTCCTCTTTCTTGGCTTTGTTTGCGTTTAAATGCACCGCTGGGTTTCTCTTTTTTTTTGTCCATAATATTAGTTTTCTAATTTATTTATGCAATATTTATGTAAGATGGTACTCAAGTAGGTACTCACTGTTCACTGACAACGTTACAAGTAAAAGGAAAGCGAAATGTAATGATACGATACAAGACGTCGTTGGGGAATCCCCCGCAAACATTTTATCGCCGCCAGTGATACCACATATGACCGTTTAAAAAATGACAAAAAAAAAATCACGTAATTAATGGACGGCCCCCTACCGCAAGTGACTTGTATTTTTCACGGTATTTTGAGTTATATAGTGAGTAGCCGAAATCTATAGATTTCTTTACGTAACTATGTATACGTACTATAATCAAATAAAATTGAACTTTTGTATGGACCAGTACAAAAAATGTATTGAAAAACTCCTGATAAATTAACTTTTTAATCATTCTCGAAAAAAAATCTTCACAATCGCGAATCCCAAAAACGCATATCGATAAATAATAATATGCAAATATTGATATCCAACAAATTGATGAAAACATTAATGACACTGTCAACCCATACATATTTATAACTTTGGTTAGAGTTCGATTGAGATTTTCTGGTAAAGATTCGAGGGCCCCCTGAACTTGCGGGCCCCGGGGCACTGCCCCGCCTAACCCCTTGGTAGCTACGCCACTGCTTTTAAGTTGTTTTACTTAGTGCGCGTAAAAATATAAGAAATACAAAAGTTGTTAAACGATTTTTTAAGCCTAAGGAAAGATATTATTTTAGCTAGGACTTTATTTTTTTCTTAATTCAGTAAATTGTATTGTATGATTTATTTGGACGTCAATTGCGTGACTCGTTTGCCTTTGTCATCTAGGTTAAGTTGTTATGTATAGTAATATATAGTAAGCAAGGTTTACAGACATATGGTCGTGTCTCGAAACATCTGTCATCTTCATAGTCACCGTTGCATTGTCGTCGTGGAATTGTTGATAGTTAGGTACGAGCCGAGAAGTAAGTA